TTTTTCACATTACTAGATACAGGTTGAATAAATATAAGCTATAGGCCTCACGAAACACTAGTTCTGAACTGAATTTAAACTAGGCTAAGTAGCCGCGCATATATTATTCTCATCTTTAGACCGAACGTGTTTTTCGCACCTCGTAAGTAATTATTTCGGTTGGACCACTGCCCACCCTGTAATAACAAAGCGTATAATTGTACAATAATACAACGACATAACTATTTATATTTATTTCGTAATAATTTTGTCTATGTTTTTAGAATCTGTGTCTCTATTTTCACGCTTTCAGGAAATACTCGCTTGATGTTTTGTTCGAAAATTAAATGATAGTTATATATTTGCTCTTTATTTTCGCTCATAATGATACTTATATTTTAGTTATCATACGTTCCATGGCCTATCTTTGTATCTCCCTAAGGTAGACTGAAGAAGATGCACTTGGCATTAAGTCCGCGAGCACTGCTGTGTGCAAAAAATCTAACTAATATTATAAATGCGAAAGTAACTCTATCTGTCTGTGTCTTTTCTTCACGCGTAAACTACTGAACCGATTTCTATGCAATTTGGTACAGACATAGTTTGGAACTCGAGAAAAGACATATTAGGATAGTTTTTATACCAAAGAACTTATTATTCCAAGCAAACGAAGGGGCAAAAGCTATCGCTTAAATAAATAAATGAATATCAAATAACTAATCGCTTGTTGGAGTGCTAATCTAATGATTGTCATCATTCCAACTATGTGCGTCAAATTATCGCTAAATTAGCGTCAGGACTTCGCCCGCTAGTGGCGTTTTAAGTGGCTGTAAATACGTCTCAAACTAAAACAATAAACATTTCTCATTTTCATTGACGCGACCAAAACTGTCAGTTTTATTAGCACAGTACGTACCTACAGAAATCGAAGCCGTGCCTACGTAACGTGTATTACGTCTATAGGAAATATCCCATAGCGAAGCCCCTTAAAATCATGTTACAGCGACCGACGGATACACAATAAAATTCGCTCTACTCAAGTAGTTTTGTACCAATGGATTTTTCCGCTAGATTTATGGGATAACATCAAAGCCACTAAATGTAGATAGCAATTGTGTTTTATAGTACGTATCAATTGTTTTGAAATTAGCAAATAGATCAGATCGAACGCTTAGGTTTCCCAAAATGTCAGTGAAGTGGATGTTTTTTTTTTATATGGGGCTATCCGCCGCTACTGAACTGAACTGAACTGAATACGACTGAAACAGGTCCGGTGCATCCCAGGTACATGAATGATTGAAAATAATCAGAAGATATTATTTGAGATGAGAAAACCTAAAATAAATAGTTTTCACTTCCTTCAATGAATTTAATGCTGTGAAGTTCAATTGTAAAATGTTATTAAGCACTTATTTATCCACAGGTTCGATGTTCCCTTAGCATATACGTTTGGATACTAAAAACATGTTAAAAACCCTATAACCCTAAAGCATCAAACTATATCATCTATTTAGAAGTTTAGATAGCCTAATATTAATTAACCAAAACCCAAACAAAACAAGGTTTGGCAACCTATGTACGTGTACATGTTATGAATTTTGATATCAATTTTATTTCCAAAACGTTATCTACATACCTATATAAAGGCAGTATAAGTGTATGGCAATTATTTAATACGCAGTTGCTAAAGCTTGTACTGTACATCGTACGAGCTTAAACCTTCGCGAAGTCAGACCGTCATTTTGAACGTTTTTAATGCACAGCAGATCTCACACTTTATCCATGAGAGCAATACAAATATTTGGTCTTCAAACAGCATACTGATTACTGTAGAACATCAAGACTAGGTATTATTGTAAACTAAACTTTCCCTGTTTTTCGTATCTACTTTCAATTTCATTAATAGTTCTATAGTTTGGAAGGAAACAGTAATGTCATTATCATTAAGATAAGATAATATTGCTTAAATTTATCGAATTTTTTATTAAGTACAGTATCCTTATTTATATTTCTACCTAATTAATACACTTAACTTCTTATAAAAGTTTTACTTAGCTGTTTTCCAACACTACCGATACAAATGCGATTTTATTTAAAAGCTAACTGAATTATACATCAGTAACAATTATAAGTACTTTCAGAATGAAGTAATTACGGGAATATTGAATAAAGGATTCAAGACCGAATTAAGTTAACAGAAACACAAGTTTAATTCTTTGTCCCCTCAACCAGAATTGGTTGCCAGTTTCAATAGTTGAACTCCGCTGCACTATTTGGCATACCTTTAATATGTAACTGGGTCAACAAGTAGGCAGTAGTTTTAGCTTTATCATTTATCATTCAGATTCCAACTAGGTAGCACAGGTACAACTTTGAATAAAATTATTCAAACCAATAATTTGTAATATCCTGTGTTTACATAGTTACTGGGTATATCGTGTGAGATATATTGCATTCAAAGTGAGCCACCACTTTACTTAGATACTTAATTGTTTTAATTATAATCTATCGATGCATAGTGCGCCGTACGGTTGATGCGGCGGCTGGGCAACTGGCTGCCGTGCAATGTGTCGCGCATTCTATTCCCACACGGCGTGGATGGATCTACACTTTGTGTGATCCACAAATTGTTGATCCGGGTTGGTGTCATGTGTATGTCAAATTGTATGTTTGTAAACGCGTCCACGACACAAGAGAAAATATTAGTGTAGGGCAATAAAATATTAAAAAAAAAAAAAAGATAAACACACATCCGATGTACCTATGTTATGTGGCACAAATTCTACATCACAATATTCACAATCACAATATTACAATTATTTACGTAACATTTGTCAATTCGATGTTAAGTTACAGGAAAAATAACATGCATAGAATACAGGAAATATCATTAGGTACATGTGCCATATCCTACGGGTCACGGATACTCGATCACCCTTGGCCCATATTCCGCGCACCTAGAATTAGGTCGAGGCATTATCACCTGCATTCACATTATACTCCGCGATAATGCTATCAATATTCACATAGTAATTATGTCCTTGATCTATTTATTTTGGTTTTTCATATAAATGATAAATAGGACAATAATTACTCGCCGAAGTTATAGCAAATTGTGTGTTTACAACTTTTAGAATGGACGCAGGGTTTATTGGCAATAATTCCGGTAATTAACCAACTAGTTAAGCTGAAGACTTTTATTGAAATGTCAAAATTATATTAATCTATGTGGTTTGTAAAAATTCGCAAATAGGTAATAACGTCATCATGTTTTAAAGCATACTTATTTTTGAAAACATAGCTCGTCATATCGTTATTTCAATAATTAAAAAGTTTGATTAGGTTTTAAAAATTCGTAGTAAGTATTGTGAAAGTCAAAATAATTTATTTTTAAGCTAGGAAACGAAAATGTATAACAAATGCAATATCCAAACGAGGCGTTGTAGGTTGAGAGTTGTCTAGAGCTTTTTTGGCAAACAACCTACGCTTACTGAGTTGAGTACCTACCTACCTAGATTCTCTAAACACTACTTCTACTTAATGACACTCATAAAATCCTATTTCTCCCATTTTGCTAATCGTAAATTACAAAGAACATTTTTATAGTGAACAAGAAAATAATCGTATGACATCTTTTGAAATACTACTACATGGTCAGACAATAAAACTGTGTTTTGATTAATCACTTGAAACAAAAGTGCTCTTAACACAATGGAAATAAGAACGATTTTTTTCGAACAATTGTATTGTTCGGAGATTTAAAACTGTCCGATCAAGTGGAAACATACAAACCTACAAGCGGAATATTAATGTGTTTACGTTACGCCGTTATATAATTTTAAATCGCTTTATTTTTATTTCGATTTAAGCGAGGTAGATGACGCGCGGATTTTAAATTTTGCAAATAAAATTATGTGTGGCTTTTATATGAAAGTTCACAAAAAAAGTGTAAAAGTGTTTATTTACAATTTTAAATAATATCAAATCTATCAGCTTTGCAATCAAAATCGTTTAAGTATCTTTCTAATGTAGTAATCACGTGATACGAGAACTTATAGTATTTTCAGTTCATTTTCAGGTCAGATTATGTAAACACAAGTGTATACCCAGTTTGTACTTACAAAGCGGTGTTGCAATTTTAAGATGAACAGGTACACAGCTGCTTATAAGGAGTAAATCTTAAGCAAGTAAACAAATGCAGAAGTAAACCAAAAGAAAACTGACAGAGAAAGGATAGAAATTAGTACGTAATAAACATTTTCCAGTAATTTTATAATAATTTATTTCTTGGTACTTATTTTTCAAGTGTCCCGCTAAAAACTCGTGAACCATCCGTTATATTTAATGAAATTTATGTGACACGCATTAGCGACACTTTATAATTTTGCGGCCACCTCATATCCGGGCTTCTCAACAAATCATTACAAATGATAGACAGCTAAGACATCCCCAATAACACCGACAGCCATCGTAACGATAGAAAATAAGTGATGGTTCTGAATAACATGCCAAGTGTAATTTGTTAAAAGTTATGACAATCACAAATGGCCAATAATAAGTTCCATATTTACTGATTTCGACTGAGAGAAACATATATTTTCCAGCAAACGACATTTTCATATTTATCTAAATCACGTGGGCAGCGACAGGCAATGATTCACATCACTTTTACTAAAGGAAGGTTTAAATGACGATGACCATCTTGTAAAATTAGCAAACGTGAATCTTTACTATTAATAGCCTTCTGGAGCCATGGATCAAGTGTTGTTTAGTTTACTTCGCAGACACATTGACTACCAATCATGATTTTATTAGTGACTTAATAAAGCTGTTGCGAATTATAGCATTATACATAATTTAATGTTATTGTTATTGGCGATATTTCTATCAAACTAATATTAGCATTACGATTTCTTTTGAACAGATATATCTGTGCTCACCCCATTTCAAAGACAGGCACGCTGTTAGAAACAAATAGCTATCGAATAAAAATATTATTTATAACCAGTGTCGTAACTCACCAATAGTTTTCAATATCTGGAGGTCTTCTAATTCATACTCCTTTTCTTCCTCGGTGTATTCCGATTCGGTGGTGGTGGATTCCTGCTCCTCCGTGGAAGATGCCACAGACAGAGACCGCACGTCAGAACTTAACTCCGAGCTGCAGTCCCTCACCAGTTTAGCACTAGCCATCATCATTTTCAAAAAAGTTTTCTCACAATCGTATTGCCAAAATAATCGAAATCAAAGTCTGTTTTATGAATTCCTCAGTTCATACTTTTGTTTTTGGAAGAACATAAACATTGCAGTTGTATAAATAAACAAATAATTAATTACGCGAAATAATATTATGACCTATTTTTTATGTTTATATTAGATTTAATTATTTTAAAAATAAATTGAATATTGAATGCGTTATCGTGAAGATACGCGCGGGAGCGGTGAACAGGCGTGAAGGCGTTCCGTACGCGCCGCGGTTTGTGTCTCACTGACGAGCTGCCGACCTCGCTCGCTTCACTGCGAGCCGATCGAGACGCACAACGAGACGGCCGCGATAAAATAAACGCTGACAAACTCTTGTTTCTGCAATGTTACCGACAAAGTCAACGATGCTCCTCGTGTACAATAACACTCTAAATGATTTAGTACCACTCCGTCTGCGAACGTAAGCCTTAAATGTAAATAAAATTAACAAGTCCAAATGTATTCTTCCACCAAAATCTCGTAAATAACTCAACATATCTCCTCGTTTTCTTTATAAATAAATGTTGCTGCATCCGCTTTGTCTTGCTCCTGTGCTGACCCTCGATATAACGATACGAGTACAATCTAGAGGAGAGTCCGACTTCACATTTTGGACAGTGTAAACAGGACAAACAAAAAACACTCATTGTTAGCAAATTAGTATTTTCATATTTTCCAGAAGTTTTTTTCAACTTCAATCATCATCTACTCATTGGCTTTGATATTTTGCGCTTCAGCAACGAAAATAAATTTTAGGAGCATCATCCTTATTCACCTTTTCGCACTGAATTAACAAATCACATTCATTTTAATAAAAGATGAACAGATCTACAAAACACGCTAGTAGGCAACTCAAATGTGAATGTGTTCGATAAATAAAGGTACCTACAGTCAAATTTAATTAAATAAGTAAAATAACTACCTAATACTGAATCCGAAACATGAGTAACATCAAAAAAGTTGACTAATCAACATTTTTATTCGATAATTTGAAGCTGAAATTAAAGCTGCGATCAGAGAAACCGCAAGAAAAACGATGACTCAGTTTGCCAACAAATCTTTCTCAATTTTTATTCATATTAGTTTTCATCGGCATCGTGCTATAGATAGTTTCGAATCTCTAGCTCTCTGCACTGGGAAGTCAAATTATTGATATAAGTGCACTTAGAAGTAATTCTAAAGTCATTTTTACGCGCGTCGTGGGGTCCGTCATACGTTGTATATTGTTCCAGGTTCCATTCGGCTGCTGCAAAATGCGACAAACGTACGCTGCGCACCGTGATACCCCGCGTGTGCGTAAACGAGGCCTAAGACCATAAATTATATATTTTGTTTTTTTCGCAATGGTCCTGGTAAACTTTCATAGATGCTCGTTTTAACATTCTGTCAATAGTGGCGCCATACTAATAATACTATTGAGGTAAAATTAACAAGGATAACTTCAATATAAATTTACTAAAGTTGGGTGGATTTCAATGCAGAATGCACCATTAGTCATAAGGTCGAAAATTCACAAATCGAAATCTTTGCCAAGTTCACGTCCATTCGCGCCGTAGTAAGTAATTAACTAATTCATGTAGATTTTGGGACTTAGTCTTAGGCTGGATGCAAATATTGAATGCAAGAGACTTTTGATAAAGAGTTGCCTATTGGCTATGTGCAAAGCGAGTAGTTGCGGACAGATAACGACCGCAGCACACAACACTGCAGAAATTGGAAACAAATGCGGATGATCAGCTGTCAAATGTGTTGATCGCAGTACAAAATCAAAGCAAAAAAATGGCCGATATGTCGTTATATCACAGTATTTCCACATTTCTTACATACTTGGCTAATAGGTACCTACTAATTTATTGGCTTCTGCTGCTGGTCTCTGTTTCTGGTTGGAAACTAATATTAGGTATGTGTAAGTTTCAAACCCGGTTTTTATTATTATATTCATTTTACAGTAAAACTATTGAATAAATTGCGCTTAAATAATGTCTACAAGACTATTTTAATCTTTGGTTTTATTTATATTTGCAAAGAAAATTATAATGTTTACATTATTATTATTTGACAGCTTCCGCAAATGTTGAAAACGCTACGTGTCGCCACCGTCGCGCACACAGCCAATACGACAACTTTTACATAATAAAAAGACGTTGCCCCACGCTAGGGTTTTCTTTTGTGTCTTGGGTGCGTTTACAAACATACAAATTCACAAATACAAGACCTGAAACAAACAACAATTTGTGAATCACACGAAGTGTTGTTTCGTGCGAGAATCGAACCCGCGACATGTTGCAAAGCAGCCAGTTACCCAGCCACTGCGCCAACCATGCCGTCCAATTCAACTGAAAACTCTTTAGTAATACCTACCTCATATTAAAAGGTCGGAGACGATACGAGATAAAACAGCATTTATATTTAAAAAAGTTTTATTTGCAACAAGCGTATCACAATCAAACAAGATATACAAGGGAGTTAAATAATAATATCACTGTAGAATCCGATATAAAGGTTTTGATATTACCTAAGAATAAATATCTTAATCTACAACTACTAGCATTACACGTTTACTTCGATATTACTAATCGCCTCATATAATATATTAATAAGTATTTTTAATGGCAACTGAGAATATAACTGTTGCAAGTTATCCGACACTAAGTAGCCTTAGCCATACGTTTTTGGCAAACTAAATTAAAATTAATGTGATGTTTATAAAATAACAGATTTACATATTGAACCCCATATAATATACACGATTCTTTCGTATGAAAATAATGATACTTACTAATGATTGTTTAAAACTGAAACCTACCAACAGTAGACAGGAAAATATATTTACAGTCAGTGAAAAAGGACATATAATGAAGAAATATTGTCATCAATGACGCATTCTCCGCGTTGTCGTAGAGCTTGCGTATGTGTTAATAAGTGCGTCATCGCAAACTTAACAATTTTGATACTTCTATTGTTAATATTAAGTTCGAGAATCCGCCAAACGACAACTTTCACATCCATTCACGGTAACAAAATCACTTTGACACCACCATAAATACCAATAAAGTTTACTTTCGTTGTTAAAATGTTGCTATTTAACAATAAATAATCAAATGCAATCTTATGTATATTGTAGTAATTACCTACAGAAAGTAATTAAAAACTATTTTCACAGACTATCCACAAACTTAAAAAAGTTTAAAAAAAGACACAACATTTTATAGGTTTCGTATAGGGTCGCTGTTTTTACGAATTCAATTTATATTTAATCAAAATATTTAATGGGTATACCTTTACTTGATTAAATTAATAAAATCACTGCAGTGTTGATGGCAAATTATTCATAATGTAAAGAACACTGCATTTTTACATTATCTTAGAGGTTTTTTTCTTTATAAAGGTATATCCACATTATTATTTTTGTAGCAAAATCAAAGTAAGGTAGCGACCGGATATCCAACCTATACGTATTTATACATAACACAAATAAAATTTACATATTTATGTGATTTCACATAACATTAAAATCCTTAAATAATATTTATAAGGTAATAAATACAACTTAGGAATATATGTATACATAAAACATTTAGCGGCGTTTAAAATCATCCGACTATCGACAACTTTTAAAAACAAAAATAAGTTTAAATTTAATAACATAATATTGCAAGAATACATTTATATTTAATCACAAAAAGATTAAAATTATGTTATTGATCTTAAAAGAAATATATACAGAGAAGAATATATACAGACGTAAGAATAAATATATGTATATGTTATACAGTCGATAATTCACAAACAAGTTAACAATATTATACAATTTCACATAAAAAAAATGTTTTTTTACCATCCTTTTCGGTAAAACTTATAAAACTATCGATTAAACCTTGTAATTTATTTCAATAAAAGGGCTACAGACAAATACCGGGGGCGTCACGGTCTGGAGTTGAGATCTCCTGCTTCCCCTGGTGCAAGCCCTATCTAGGAGCATTTTTATCGCATTATTTTCTTATTCTGACCTTTTTACGATTGTGTACATTTTAAATCTTTTTAAAAAGACGGAATTCTTAATGTCAGTTTACTTTGGATGAGCAAATAACTAACACTTGACATTATTTCGGCCGCCACAATATTTTAACCCAAGATGTGGTGGCCCTTACGCCGGCGCTAGTAATCTTCTATAGTTTTACGTCCTTACGATAAAACAAAACTAAACTTTCGCTAAGCTTAGCCTATGGAACCATTAGTCAGTGCCGGCATTGAAATGAATATTTTCTCTTTAGTATGTGACGTTTCTCATATCGGTCACAAACAAAGTAATCACTCATAACGATAACGTCCATCGCATGATATGTTGGACATAACAGCTCGCTATCCACCAAGCCTAACCCATCAATAGCCAATAGAAACCGCTTTATATCTTCCTATCTGGCTATTTTTGCGTACCAACTTACGTTATCTGTCATTTCATCATGCGCCGGTATCTCAAATCTTATGTCTGAATGTCTTTATCAAGCTGCTACAGCAAATCTACCTAACGTACTGGAAGCACTTAAAATACCCCCAACAAACATGAGATTTTCGGCAACACTGTTTGCTTATTTCTTCTGGAAAACGCTAACAACGATTACTGTGTGGTTTTTACATTCTACGTTTTTTCTTTGGTAATATCCTATAACATTCATTCACGATAACTGTCTTCTGTGATCAGATATAACTGATACAAGAATTAAACTCGCCACGTATCTTGCATCATCTTGACAGTGTAATGACTCACACTACTACATATAGACAGGCCAGTACTACTTACCGAACTTTGTTATCGAACGCTTTGTGTCACTCGAGTAGTGTAATTATAAGACTTAAGTCTTTTAAATACAGTTATAATATAAAAAAACACCATAGCACAAAGATAATCAACCACACATTCTTCCAATTTAGGAACTTACGATTATATAAATTAATGTCATTCACTCACTCATTTCGGTAACACTGCATTACATATCTTATAAATAGTCTTATCCAAAGAGTCACCCCTGTCACCCGAAAGGTTACTCAATTTGAATCTGATGCCAAATAAATATTGGTCAGCGTTATAATGCTGAGCTGTACCTACACCGAAATTAATAATGGATCACAATCTCTATCTCCAAATATTATTCTTAGATAGCACCAAAAATCAACGCAGTGATTAGCAATTGAAACGCTTCGTCTAATTTATAAACTGAAAACGTCAATCTAGATTATCAAAAATTGGGTCAAGATTGCTTATTAATTTCGGACGGGTTTAGTATGATATTGTAATTATAACGGTTTCTTCCTATAAATATTTATTAGATTAGGTACTATGTGTAGACGAGTATCATACGTTCATGATGACGATGAAACCGGCGTGCATGGCCACGGCTATCTTTTGATGCTGCTTCAGGATGGGACAGAATGCCATGGCCGCCACGTCGGACAGCGGGAATCGCTCGGGGAATGCCTCTCGTGGTAATGCAGACAACTTCTGTTGTGTCGACTGTTAACGAACATCAAGTTATTAGTAAACGAATACACACAATGAAACAATGTCATCATCGCAGATGTTACTGTATAGCTATACTCCAGTTCCTTTCGCGTGAGTAGTTGCAGTAATTAATGATATTTTTAACAATATTCTATTATATTCATTGTTCCACTCAGAGCAACGACAAGATAAAAGTTTCGCTTTATTTTACAATAAGTACTCTAATTCTTTTCACTCATTTCTCTCTGTGACTAATTTACGTCAGACAGATTGTTTGGCGTAAACCCAAATGGAATATTTAATAACAACTCTCTGTTTGTTTAAATTACTTTAAATAAACCGAATGAACTAGAGCACAAACGTTTTAACATTCACTTTCGTCAAATTCTGTAGATTTCTTAACATCAAAGTTATTGACGAGTCGATCTCCGGGCGAAGTAAAAAATTTGGCAACGACGAACAAGTATTTTAATTCAATTGGTTTAAAAAGTAATGAATTACATTGGTGTTACAATTTGTTACTTGCGAACTGAGTAACACTTGTGCCATTACATATTTTCAAATTAAGATTTGGCAATCCTTATTATTATTATTCTTCTTATTTTTAACACAACGTGCTTTTCCGTGATAATGGAATTTGAAAATTGTGGAAATTATTATCGTCCAATTAGTTCTGTGTGTATTGTTAATTGGAATGAGTTAGTAAATATGTTAAGAGCTCACCCGATCTTTGGAAGTGATCTGTTGGAACTCGAGGCCGTACTTCTTGACGGACTCGGCGTACGTAAGCGGCTCCACTACTAACGACAACTCGTCTGTCTGACGCTTGCGTTTATTTCCAAGTGGAACCATTTGGAACTTTCCTATAACCTGTTGAAAAGAAAGAGTGGGTTTTATATTTTTATTTTGACAGTTCAGTTGACAGTATTATAAACTCATGCATGGATTACCTTTTTCATTTTTACGAATACATTGTTTTGTTCGGGATAACACTAGGATATTCGGGATATTCCTAGGCCAGATTTTAAATCAAGAAATACTGGCTAAGTGCAACCAAACCACCATCGAAACAATGAAGTTCGTCATATACATAATGTCCATAGTATGATGAACATAAATGTCCTAAATCCCGCAACGAAGTTAAAAATAGACTTTCATAAAAGATGTACCTAATGTTCATTGTGAAACTGTTGGGTTTGTAGTTATTTCGCAGTATAGCTGCCAAGACACGGAGAACTACAACGGAATGGCGTGGCTTTAAGTCAGTAAATGCATAACATTCTTCAAGCTTTTGGTGAGGCGAGAGGAATCTCTGCCGCACCAATAGCAGGAATTATTTGATAATATTCCACCCAAAATACTGTATCGGGAAGTTTCGACGGCATGTGCCGCCTCAATTTTTAAGTTGTTGTAATATTGAATAATATCCATAAGTTTAATTGCTGTTCTCATATTTCTCAATTTTGTATTTGTTTATTTCATTATGGGCTATAGATGTAGGTTATACCTGTTTATGGACATCGGGGAAGCAGGGATGCAGCCTCAGCAGCCTGAGTAGCGGCGGCGCAGCGACGACGACGCGGCCGCACCACTGGCAGCCCGCCGCGCGGCTCGCCCCGCCCAGTCGCCGCCCTCCGCCCCACCACTCCAGCTCGTTGATAGATTGGTTCACTGTTCAAAAAACATTCCAGGTTCAACACACTGATGGTACTGGAGCTTTTTAATAATAGGCTTAAGATTGACATTTTAGAACAGCTTGACTATGACGAAAATTTCAGTGTTTTTTTTATGTGATAGGACGGGCAAACGTATTACGTGAAGGTAAGCAATCAGCGCCACCCATGTACATCGGTAACAACTCTGTTGTTAGTTGTCGAGTTATCGACATTTCGGGAATTAGGGATTTTTTTTCACTAGGCGAGGGGAAGGATTGGGATTCTGGTAACCACACGGCGAAGCACAACACTATGGTGGTTTCACGCCAGTTTTCTTTGAGGCCGTGGTATCATTCCGGCCGAGCAGATCCATTTGTGCCGAAGCATGGCTCTTCCACATTTCATTTGAGATTTTTCAGAGTGATGGTATCATCAACTCGGACATTCTATCAAGCTACTTAATTCTTTGTGGCTACAGACGGGTATGTATGTATGTACACGTACCGAGACAGTCGTCCCCGGCGAGCAGGGCGGCGGGCCAGTGCGGCGGGTACAGCAGGCGCAGCGCCGCGACGTGGGACTGCAGGGCGCCGGCGCCGGCCCCGCTCACACTGCCCCCGCATACGGCGCCTCCGCCCCGCGTACACTCGCCGCCGCCAGGGTACATGTCCAAATCTGACACGGACATTATAACCATTAATGGGAGCAGGAAATGATCGCATGGTATGAAACACAACAATTATCATTATATAATAAGATGTAATTAGTTAGTTCTCAAGTACGTAGCATGATACATAAGTCCTAATAAGTAACAAATAAGGCATAAAGTTTAAATTTATTAAGTCCATTAGTTAAATAAATGAATTAATGAGATGATAACACAAAGTCAAAATCATAAAAATTTGATCAACTTCACACACTAATAATAATTGTCGTTACAACATGATTTACGTCTTCACTTTTTAGTGATATTTTATTTTATTTATTTATTTATTAAAACTTCATGCACAATGGGTACATAGGCGGACTTAATGCCTTAGGCATTTTCTACCAGTCGAGCCTTGGGTGATGCAGAGATGAGCCAATGGTCGGTGCAAGAAGCAAGCAAACAGACTTAAATTTAAATGAGTGAAGACGAGATAGATACATATATATGTGCAAATATTTACATACAAGTTACAATATAATATATATATATAAACTAAGTACTCAAATTACATAATATATTTATAAATAACATATACATATATAATATATACTTATACTTATTATAATATACTATATATATGGTGGTCACGATTCAGCCAAACCTTTTAGCAAGAGCTTACGAACCTTTTGTTTGAAAGTCAAACGACTAGACATAGATATTTTCTGTTTACTCTTGTGTTATTATTTACCTAATCTTTTTTTACACTTCCGTAAAGAGAAATCCTTGGAAAGTTTACAAAACTCAAACAATAACTCAAATTGGTTTAAAGATATTCCGATATGAATTCAGTTTAAGAGAAAAAACAATGCCAAGGTATCAATCGAGTACTGAAATAAAAATGATCGATTACGGTAGCGATCATAACGATCCATTATTCTCGGAATGTAACTCTTACGTGGACGCATAAAATGCTTCGACATAAAACTAAGTTTGTGTCGCGAGTTGATTGTTCTTTTCGTGCCAAAGTTACTTACCCTCAATACAGGAATTTTGTGCGCGTTCATCGTGGTAGGGGTAAAATACTGTGATGTCATTTTCTACAACTCGTAGTAGAGGCGAGTCACTACTTAAATCGTAGTACGCCATTGTACCATCGCCATATCCGACTATTATTTGAGAATGTCCTTTTTGCTGAAAAATAAATTACTCTTAGCTTTTGTACCGTTTTTGATACAAATCAAATCACAAAGCTTTTATTTTAGATACTTACAATGGACCATTTAATAGCAGTAGCCTGATAAGCTTTTCTATTTCCATTCGTTAATCTTAGTTCAACCACCGGCTTCAGTTTATAAAAAGGTTGTTCCCTGAAACATAATTATTATTAATTCATATTTAAAAATAAGTCGTGAATTGTTTTGTGCAATCAAATATCTTTCCCATTGGCGGCAAATAAGAGATTTTATACAAAATTTATAAGTATTTCCAACATAAATGGGTTTTTCAAATATTTTTCAACACAGACATTAAGTCAGATCTATGATAATATAACTTACTTGTCTGTTACAGTGGATGGATATGGTACAGCAAATATGTAAGCGATCCCATTTGAACACGCCGCAGCGAGCAAGCCGAGCCTTTGTATCTTATCAGTATTGGGCAAGTGCTCAAAAACATCCCTCACTCCTGACGGGCACCAGTCAATGGCCCAGAATGTACCAAAGTCGTGCGTTATACCAAACACAAATCGTGGTGGAGACCTAAAATAAATATGTCGGTTAGTTCTTTATGTTAAAGAGAGAAGGTGTTTGAATGAGTTTAGAAAGAAGAAAATTTTCAATATGGCTTCCTTGGTATTTTACCAATTGTGTTTATCGTTAACACCTGAAGAAAGTCTGTATTAAGTCCTAAGTTAGTATTTAGTTGATATATCAATTATATTACTATACATAACTTCAAAAAAGGAGAGATCTAGCTTAAATTGTTATAAGTAATACTACCAACTACTTCTTACAATTATCATTCCGCTAAATACCTTTATAACTAATAAAGTTGCGTAATCAAGTTCCAATCACATGACTTACGTAATCAAGTTCCCACAGTCCCATATCTGCACAAGCCCGGATCCCACCGGTGTCGTGTCCCAAGCGTACCGTGGCGCATCCGGCCCGTGGTGCACCGCCACGGCCAGGAACTGAGACTGACCACACGATATCTCCGTATCAGGGGTCGATGGTGCCCACGATATAGCTTGAATACTCGCACCCACGAACATTACTAAGAAATCTGGATGAAGAAAAAATTGTTTTAAAGCAAACATTAATAACGATTTAACTTGACTTTGATAGTTGCGCAAGTTTGCGCAAACTTTGCGCAAACTATACAGCTATAAGATTTACTGAACTTGAAGCCTTATCAGTGTTCTTTATGATATATCACAACATTTCCACAAACATTATTAGGTATGTTTTCCAATTAATTTATTTGATACATTCAAAGTGTATACAACTTTTATAGTAAAACTAATTATACCTTTGGTGCTCTGCGCTTCAAATCGTTTGAAGGTCTTCCAATCCTGGTTTTCTTCAAACTTTACTTTACACGACTCTTCAAGAGGCGGCATGTAATTAACGATCTCATTCTCTGGTACTTCCTCTATCATAAAGCTATGCCACATCGGGAATAACACTTCATCAGTTAGATACTTCTCTTTACTGCAAAAAGATAAAATGTGTTTTTTTTTAAAGAAAAAGGTAAAGAAAAGCAATTTTAGTATTTTCAAATAAAATATGCTTACAATTCTTCAGTACTTTTCTTCATGTAAACGCTAATATTATTCACTTGGTATGGCAAACGTATTATTTTTTGTGCGTCTGTAAAAAAATAAGTATATTTTTAGTGAATCAGTTCATAGATATGTATATTATTATGATATTTACTTTTAAGACAAACAGTCATCATTTAAGTATAATTCTCGTTAGGCCTTTACAACTTTGCGAAACTCTGTCACTTCACAAGTTACATATAAATGGGTCTTTAAAATGAATGTATGAACTCGTTAAAACAGAATAAAAATACTCTGATTTTTTAACTCATTACATTACATCTTACTAATATTATAAATGCGACATTACGATGTTTGGATGTTTGTTACTCAATCACGCCAAAACGGCTGGACGGATCTGGATGAAATTTGGCACAGGCATAGGACATACATAGCATACACTCCGGAATAGGACATATGCTTTTTATCAATATACCACGCGGGCGAAGCCGCGGGCGGAAGCTAGTTATACATAAAACAATATGAAAATATGATTCTGTAATCAAGTAAACACAAAGTGACAACTCACGGCTATCTGAGTGTTTCTTTTTCTTCATTATGAGTTCCTCCCGTGCTTCCAGTTCCTCATCAGAGACGTTAGAATCGACCTCGGTCTCAGAATCAGAGTCTGTCTCCTCGTCGGAACACATTTCCATTTTCACAGAAACATCCGAGTCACTACCATCCTCCCATTTATCCATACAAACGTGATCCAACAACTCTTTCTCAACATCAGTACTAAATTTACACTTTGTGCATCGATGGCTACCCTGGAAAGTAAAAGATAACGTATGCAAGTAATTAAAAGCACAATTTCCGAAAGTCTTGTAAAATAAAGGAATAACATATTATTGTAAACTTACATATTGAAGACTGTTTTTATATTTTTCAATCACGTTCTTTGCTCTACAAAAAAAACAAACGTTAATAAATATCAATGACCTTTCGGATTTTTTGTCCATGATTACATAAACACTACATACTACTTGTCTGAAAAGTCAAAACAAGTTTATAGGTGGCGACCGAGACCGGGGTGGAGTCAAAATCCCTACGCTCCTCCGCACTCAAACTAGTTGAAGAGAGAGAGAAATGGCTATTCAACCAGCGATTCCCACTTGAAATCATCTTTTGTGTGACCTTGTAGACAAGTAAATAAACGCACCCATTCCTGTGTCGAGACTGGGTTTGCCTAGAGGAAAAATTCTAGAGTTTATCAAAATAATGCGTTTTGTATTTACTTCTCTGCTGCCTTCCTGCGTCCAGTCGGAATGATGTCATTTACTTCTTCTTCTTTCTTCATCTCTTTCTCTTTCGCTGCTAATATCTTGCGTTCTATCGCCAGTTCCTTTTCCTTGTGCATAGTCATATGCTGACTCTTGTATATGCGCAAATACTTATTATTGCATATGTCGCACATGCTTTTATATTTCTCAGTTTCCTGTAATACAACGATTTCATTATTTTGAATAGTTAAGAAAATTCGTACAACGAAAGGGAAATTTTAGGACACTGCTGGAATCTTTTGGAAATGAATTACACAAAATAAATGAAATATCGTGTAGATGGAAAAAATAAAATCTTTGTTTATAAATAAAACATTGATTTACTAAATAATCACATTTAAACAACAGTGAAGAAATTATTTATTATGTTTTCGGCTTACTCACGTAATAATTATAATAGTAGCAGCGCGACGGTCGCCGAGTCGCGTGTCGCGGAATGCTGCTCATGAATATGGGCCTCTAGCATGGCTTGAAACTAGTCGAGTATCTCGTCAAATTATTACGTGAGTAAGCCGAAAACATAATAAATAACAGTGAAGAAAATAACAAAGTTACGATTGCTATACGTTGGAAATTTACAAACCGGCCAAAATGTATGAAATGTATACTAACCTTTTCAGATTTCCCACACACAATAATGTGAGCGTAAAACCCGACGTAAGATACTCTACTGATACCGCACACCTTGCAAACTAGCTTATGGTTAATGTGCTGATATTCTTTTAAATAACTCTCCACTGCATAAGGATTGTTTATTTCCTGAAAAAGATAAAAAGAAATATTAATTCGGAACTTACCTTGAATTACTGACATAATATGAATTATGTACCAGGTAGGAGCTAGGGATTGCATCTAATACACAGGAGGTGTCGAGAATGGCACTTTCAACAACAAAAAGTTATTTTATACTTTTCTGTTTAAAATATACCACCCCTATATAAGTACTCCGTGACTTTTTGCAATAAACAATTATAATAAACACATTCTAAATTAAAATTTATCAAGAATAGCGGCAATCCAAACATTGTGAAACAGGCCCTAATTAAAAATTAATCAATCATTCCACTGAATAGTACTTACTATGGGAGGATCTCCAACCACCCAAGCGACGTTGTAATGTTCTTCCATGGAGTGAGGCCTCCATTCTTTGGGAGGCATTGTCTTCCCACAAACACCACACTCTATGGTCTCTGGAGGAAAAAATAAAAGCACGTAAGTATTATAGCATAGAATAGAATAATGATAGATACATATTTTCAGATACAGGAATTTCCTCATTTTCAACCTTCATTGACCGATACACTAACAAATATTGCTTTTGACTTTGTCTGACTAACCTTTACTCATCAACTCCGCAGAGACATCAGAATATTTATTTTTCCCCTCACATGCGGCCACGTGCTCCTGGAACGACTTGACGTACTTCCTTTTAACACCACACTTCTGGCAGACCAGCCCTCCCAACGCTTTGCTCATATCGTACAGATGCCGCTGCACAGCTTCCTGGTTATCAAGATCCTGTAATATATTTATAAATTAGGCTCTCTGTTCTTCATTTAAATTTGAATTTCCCGCGCATTGGATTCATGCGCTATCTAAGATAAGATAATAATTTATTTCCATATTAAAAGTACATATTACAAACAAAACACTATGCACTAATATAGGTTTACAAAAAATCTGTGGACAGCTAACCTGCACTACTCTATGATTATGTGTGAAAAAAAATTGATGAACACGTTTCATTAATTATTGATAAAATAATAGGAAATTATTGAAGCAATAGCTTTCAATGTTTGTTCTATTTTTACAGATTATTTTATTATATTACTCAATAACAGTAATTTATGTGTTAAAATAAGTTAATATGCTTATAGAAAGGTACATACTTGTGTTGTAAAATGTTTTAATTAGACTAAATTTTTCTTTTTATAGAACAATAACTTATGCAGTTGTCACATGTAACATATTTATACCATTGAGTATAGTACTTTGACTTATAGAATACTAGCTTCTTCTAACGGATTCAACCGCGTTAACCAGATGAAAAGGAGCCTGTGTATGAATTCATTTATACCAGACTACAATTTGTCAATTAATATATTATTTACATGCTAATTACTAATGACTGCTTATTACAACTGGTTATAGTTATAATTTTTGGATGTTCAACAATTATAAACTTCTAGAACATTCTATTTAAAAGGTAAATACTTACAATAGGTGGCTGGCCTTCAACCCACGCCAAGTACTGATGAAGTGTTCCTATGTGGTTGATCCATTCAGAACCTTCCACTTGAGCTGCGCACACGCCGCAAGTTAAAATCTCGTTTTTAATTTCTTTTTTTGTGAAATCTTCAATCCAACTAACGTTAACGTTTTCCGATACAGACTTGTTCTGAGGACAAATATAAAGACATTAAAAAAAAAACAAGTTTTGACCAAGAAATTACGAGTATATTCGGAATTGTAGTACTGTTCTAGAATAGAGACAAAAATATTATGTAAAGGAAGTAATAAACTCACCGCACTACCATTGCACTCTTTTATGTGCTGCAAATACACTTTAGGGTACTTGATCTTTTTCTCACATTTATCGCATTGCAAACCATTGTTCTGTCTAGAAATTTCGAGCAGATGTAGTTTGACTGCAGATTCATTTTGTAGATTCTGAAAATTGGAATTACAATAACAGACAAATTATTTTTAATTAGGTTTATTAATTAAATGTAGTAAAGTAATTATAGGATAGCAGGCGTTATAATCATAATTAATTTGCGCAATTAAATTAAAGTATTAACAATTTGCGCAAACTGTAGCGCAAGTTGATCACGCAAACCGTAGCGCAGGTTGATTGCGCAAACTGTAGCTCTAGTTAGTTGCGCAAGTTATTTGCACGAGCTTTTCGCGCAAACCAAGGGCGTAATTATAGACTTATAACACTTACCACTGGAGTGCAACCATCTTTCCAAGCCAGGTAATGGTGTTCCTTGCTAATATGATTAATCCAATCCACGATTGTAACCTCTTCGCTACAAACTCCGCATTTAATGATTTTGGTTTCTTCCTCCACTATTGATACTTCGTACCAACCATCAGTTGACTGAGTTGTAGTATTCAAACTTTCGTTAGCTAACGAAATATCCGCTTGGCTCTGGAATTGCAAATAAAATTATGTAATACTTCACAAAAAAAAATGTCGCGATTACGTTGATGTTATTTAACTTGTAGTAATAATATTTAACTGCTTTGTCTCTCGAGTTTATTTGCATTTGTTAAGGTAATGAAGGACTGGTGTTCTGTTTATGTGTGTGCGATGTGTAGTAATATGCTCGCGGTGAGAAGTAAGTGTCACGTCCAACTACCTCTACGTGGAAAATGGGCGTAATTAAATAACGGCTTTGTTCAAACTTACATTAGTAGAACCATCACACTCTTCAATATGACTCAAATACATTTTGACTCGTTTACGTACGATGCCACACTTATGGCACACTAGTCCACCGTGCCTTCTCACAAACTGCTGCAAATGACTCCACACTACTTCTTCGTCATCAAAATTCTAAAATTATAAATTAATTAAAAGTCACACGTAGATCAAACAATAATGAAATCTATTTCCAGACATCAGCATTCAAAGTTGAATGTCAAATAAATTTGATTGAAGAATTAACTTTTAAGTTTAGTACCTACATAATAATAAAATTATGAAGAAAAATATTAACATTTATTAGCATTTAATTTTTAAATTGGAGCAAAATAAAAAGCAAATATAAATTACCATAGGGGTCTGTCCTTGTGGCCAGGCCAAATAGTTATGATTTTTAGATATATGGTCTATCCATGCCGAGTTTATCACCTCCGCTTTGCATACTCCACACTTCAAGGTCCTCTGTCCTCCTGACGGTGCTAAAGTAGTCTCATCAGAAACTGACGCATTCAAGTCCTCACTCATTGCAGAATCGTCCAGTAAATGCTGAAATAAAACATTCACGGCCATATTACAAAACAAGGTTTTACTTTAGACTAGGACTAAACCATTGAGCCAGTTTTTGTATTTCGAATTGAAGGTAGATGACAATAAGAATCAAAATTCAAAACCCCGCTCAATGGTTTAAACCTGGACTAAGGATAAATCTTGTTTTGTAATAAGGGGGTCAAAGTTTTAGTTTAATAAAGTCGCCTTTTAAAGCGACGACCCTACAGATCATTTGGAACTTTAAAAATCATATTTGAATTCAGTAAATAAGAAAATAAACTTCACTTACTTAATAATGAAATATTTAGAAGGCCATTTACTTACCCTGGTACCATCACAACTCTTTACGTGAGCCAAAAATAACTTAACGCGGCTGCGATTAAACCCGCACTTCGAACAAACCAATGTTCCTTTAGTCCTGATTATATTCTGCAGGTGCTCCCATACTGCGGACTCGTTTGACACATCCTAAAAATTTAAAAGAATAAATTTTACTTTTAATTTGATTTCGCTGGTAAAAAAAACAGACATATTATATATCTGAACTCTGAACTTGTTCCGTCCTTAGCTTTACACGCATATTAAAGTAATATATCCCGGGATTATAAAAACAGGAGCGATTAAAGCGACAACTCTACTAAAATACGTATAATACATAGAACAACCAAAACAACAAAACTCAGAACCATTATAGCTACCTATCAGTGTAAGAATTTTGGAGATCTAGGGGAGATCTAAATTTACAAATTGTACCTACCTTTTTATATTTTTAGTATAGATAAATAAATATAGATAACTTACTAAAGGAGTTTCTCCTCTCTGCCACGCCATATAGTCATGTTCCCTGCCTATGTGACCATACCACATATCCGACAGCACAGTCTTATCGCATACACCACAAATAACATTTTCTTCCAAAGGCGCTCTTGATTTTCGCGAGGGTTTCTCTACTTTTTCGCTTTCCCCTGACATCTGTTAACCAAAGATAAGTTCAGATAGTACATAGCAATTATTCATAAATACACAAAGAATCAAAAGCTCTATCAAAAATTCAAAAGAAAATACCTTTTTCTGTATGCAGTATTTAACATGATCGCTAAACCGATTATATCTGTTTGTTGTCATGCCGCATAAACTGCACACCAACTTGCCCTCGGCTTTCAACTTGACTTTTAACTTGCGCACTAGATCTCGGTCGTCCAAATACTGAAACAACAAAATTATGCTAGTTTTACAATCAGTCATAACACACAGTCAGTAGGCTTGAACTCAAACTAACATTTATAAATATTACATTCAATATAAATATTAGATTATATCAAACATTTAAAAATCTTATAACACTTTAAATAAAGGATACTGAAATGCAATGTTATTGATGAAACTTACAATACGACCACCAACTTTCCAAGCGATAAGGTCATGCTCGTTGGCTACATGGTCTTCCCACTCTGCTTGAGAAAACAAATCTTCACAAATCGCACACTTTATACTCTTCTTTGAAGACGGCGCGCCCTTTTCTTTACCAAAGAAACTTCGCTTCTGTAAAAATGAATGCAAACAAACATAAATATACCTACACTCTTTCATACATATTTCCCTTATTACATAGATTTGATAGTGAGGACATACTCGAGATTTTTTTTCAATAGGTTTAGCTGCAGCAACTTTTTCTTCCTTGGCAGAAGTTTTCGCAACTTCCTTAGTACTCTCATCATGTTTGATCGTCTGCAAATGAACATTAGATTTTAAGATATAACAACCGAATAGTTGAATTTTGAGAGCAAAATCCTTATTTAAGCTTTTACCAATCCGATCGGGTCATGAAAGCATACGGGACAGAAATTAATTATATTATTTCGAACCGAAATAAGGTAGGTATGTGATAATATTATATTAATAACGAACTACCATGATCGGATTCAAAACCTGGGCACTCACACATTTTTAGCGAAATGTCTAGACGTCAATAAACATTTCTTACAGTTTCAATTCAAATCTTTTCGAAATTCTAATGAAGTAATGTATATAGATACATGCGTAATTCATAGGAGTTTTTATATACTAAAGCTTACCTGTGGCGAGGTGTTACTTATCTCTGAAGGTTTTGCTTGGGGTGCAGTGGGCTGAAATGAAAAAAATAAAACATATAAATAAACGTGAAAGATTTTTAGTAATTCCTATTCGTGATTATTTTCCAGTTACTTTGTAATGATTAAAAGATGAATGAAAAAATATAAAAAAATACTCACCATATCATTACATTGAGAATTTCCCTGTTTTGTGCTTGAATGCCCACTGTCTGCAGAACTGTCATCATCGACATTCGCGCTCAAAGGCTTGTCTACATCTACAACACTATTGAAGTTTTTGGTTTCAGCTTCAACCATATCATGGTCAATGGTGTCTAAAATAATATCACAATTATTTACAATATGCACTTCCGGCTGATTTTCAGACACAATTCCATCATTTGTAGCCGGAACTGTAATGTTAACTGGTGACCCGTGAATGTCACTAGACGAAGCATCATTTATTTCATCTACAACACAATTATGAACTAATAGTTCTGGATCTGTATCATTATCATTTTCACAAAATTCTTTTTGAAATATATTCCAACAAAAAGAAATATCTACATTTTCTTCAGTCTTATCCTCTTCATCTACTTCACCTTCATTTGTATATACAGTTGGCTCATCACTATATATAGAAAATATGGTAGCTAATTCACAATTAGCACTATTATTATTCTTAAAATGTATATGTTCATATAAGTTATCACTGCCATAATAAGCTAAACGGCCGAAATCATAACATAAACAAAATTCCTGGATTTTATTAGATGTCTCAATATTTACTGCATCCAATTTCAGGTCCACCACCACATCTTGTTTTATATTCTCATGCAACTCAAGTATGGACTTATTACTCTTTTTTGGAAGAATTTGCCTAGCATAGGTTTTAACGACCTTGCACTCACCAGTATGTTCTTTATCTTTTTTGCTTCCACCAGGCTTTTCAACTCCTTGAATGCACAATTTAGATTCAGTGGTATTTGTCTTTAATTTAATAGTTTTATTTTTATTCACAGCATTACTAAAAGCTTTCTTTGATTTATTTTTGTCTGTGTAAATGTGTGAAAACTTCTTTAAATATGCAGCAATCTCCTTTACTTTGTCTACTTTACTTTCAGAATTTGGCAATGTTTTTGTTGCATTTAAAATACTAGCTAATTCTGATTCTGATTCTTGTTCTGATTTCTTATCTTTAGATTCTGTATGTTTGGAATCAAAATGTTCTGTGTCTTTATTAACTGTAGATTTTGATTCGAATATAAATTTAGATTCCTTGCCATGTTTTTGCTCAGTATCAGTTTGTGCATTAATATTTGTCCCCACATTATCTTTATCAATTTTTTTATGATTTTCATCAATGTAGGTTTCAACAGTTTGATCTAAATTGGAATCTTCATTCTCATCAGTCTTACCATTACAATTCTGGAAAATATTTTCATTTTTATCTCTAACTGCAGTGACAATTTTTGTCACTGTTTCAAAATTCGATTTACTGTCTGGTGGTTTGTCTGATTTTATAATATTACTATCATCCTTAGCAATATTAGAATATTCTTTTTCCAAATATATTCTCTTGTTGTTACTAGGTTCCTTTGTTAAAGATTTGTTCTTAGTGTATTTATCAGTTTCCTCAAAGACACCTATGATGTTTTCTGCTACTTTATTTATTATTTCTTCAGTCTGAGTACATTGATTACTATCCAAATTTGGACTGCATTTATCAATACTTTCAACATTGTCTTCTATAACTAAAGTTGTTTTAGTATTTTTATTTTGTAAAGGCACTGTAATGGTTGAATTATTAGCCTGGTCTGCAGATTTACTGATATCGTGATTGGTTTTCGTTTCAATTTTAGATTGCACTGTAATGGGGGTTAAATTTTTCACATTACATAATTTTAAAGATTTTATTTCTCTAAGCTTTGAAAGGGGTATTGTTTCTTCAGAAATAATGTTGATTTTAGGTGGATTTGATTTAGGTTTTTCACTATCAGAGTGATTGTAAGACACTAAATTGGGATCTGTAACTATGGAATTTTTTGTCAATTTTGTTTCACCATTAATTTCTAACGATTGGTCTACAATCAAAGAATTAATATTACTGTTTGCTATTTGTGTTGTATGGTCATCTAAAACCACATTCATATTTTCTTCTATTTCCATATCATTTTCAATATGCAATGTTTGTACTCCATTGAAAGAAATATCATAATGTAAATCAGTATTGTGTCTGTTGAGACATTCTTCTGTGGTGTCAACTGAGACATCCAAAACTTCAATGGAATTTACAGTTTCAGGAACTACCAAGTTAGTTGCAGAAACAGTTTCTGGAACAAAACTTTTGTTTGTTATTTTGATTTCTTCGGGAATACCATTAGCAATGGTTGGAACAAATGTAGGGCTCAAGAAAACCGATTTCTTCATTAATGATGCAGTTTCCAATATAGAGGTATCAGATAGGATCTGACTACAATTTCGATCTGAAATAGTTTCATGGTACCCATCATTGATATTTTCTGTGCCTGGAAGAGAATAATTACCAAAATATAGATAAGTTTTTATAACAAAAAAAAAAACTTTAGAAATAAAAACGGACACTTACGGGGCAGCTCTGTGGCAGATGTAGAAGAATTTACTTCATTCACATTTATGTTTCCGATACTAATACCAAGTTTCTTCAAAAGGTCTGGAGGAAGTACAAATACTTCATGCTTATCCTTAGCAGATTTCATCTTTTTTGGTGGTTTGTTTTTAAGACTTTTTGTATTCATTTCTCAAAATATTATAAAATAATCATAATCTACCCATTTTCATCTGCATGTTGAATTCCTCAAATAAGTCCACTAAAAACAGTATGTAAATTTATTAAAAAAAATTTTTTTTATTGTGTTAGACTAAATTAATTAAAAATACGAAAAATAAAAGTTCTAGAAAAAAATTTATTAGCAAAGAATTTTCACAATTTTGTATCAAATGGCATAATCTATTAGTATCAACGGTATTAAATACCAATAAAAAACACAAAAACAAAATGCGAGAAAAGAAAAAATTTAAACACTGTACCAGGATCGAACCATGGTCATCAAAATCAATGATCACACGTGTTCGTAACTTAGCTAAGGGAACCGTTTTGCACACTGTTGTAATATGCGTTGCCTTTATTATTTTATAAAATAAGTGATAAAAAAATATATTTTCATGAATAAAATACACAGGCACACTTAACGAAACTAAAATTACACCACGGCACTTACAAATTTATTGACGCTAGACGTGCAGCCTACATTTCCGTGATAATTCTTGACTTTTTACATAAAACTCATATCCGATGGATGTTAATCAAAATCACAGACACCAAACACTTACTTAATCTAAGGTTTGATATTATTCACTTCTTTTTTAATCATATGAACTTACAACCACATAGCACGATGTAAAATGAAAGCGAATTCGCATGAAAATTAAAGGTTATAATCACTTTTATGAAGTTCTATTCTGAACAAAGTTAAAAATATCGTTTGTAGTTGTTTAATGCTTATGAAATAAGGTTCACAATTGTTTAATATTAGTAAAAGAAAAGTTGTCGAGTTGACATTCCAAACAATTTAGTATGTTGATCAACAGAGGGCGCCATGCGCAGCTGTCACAGATTATACTATTTACCGGTTTTTGCCTTACAGATACTGAAATCATGGCCTAAACGGCCTTCGTCTTTAATGATTTGTTAAAAATTTACCATATCGGTTGGTGAATAGTACATTTAAAGCTTTGTGTTTACCTAAGATACCGATATTATGACCAGTGTCTTACCACAAGTTTCTTGATTTTCTTCACACCTGACTTTCCTATATAAAAAAGTACTCTGTGCACCTGACGTTGACGTAAGTCAAAGTATGAAAATATCTGTGAGTTCATACAATTTATTGATAAATACAAATCTGTAAAGTATTGAATTTTATTGTTTAATTTAAATATTTTCCTAACAACTAAGAAAGCTAGCAAAATGGGTGCAAAGTCTTTATCATTATCATTTCAAATCAAAACAGAATGTAATGTATCTAAAGCTCGTTCTGGATTAATGAAGTTGCCGCACTATGAAGTTAAAACACCTGTTTTTATGCCTGTTGGAACACAGGTAATTTTGGCCAGAGATTTATGTTTATTTCCATTTTTGTTTTGGTTTTTTACTTTAAAGTAATATTGTTTTCATTTTCAGGGTACAATGAAGGGTCTGTTACCTGATCAATTGGAAAGCTTGGATTGTGAAATAATTTTAGGCAACACCTATCATCTTGGAAACCGTCCTGGTACGGATGTTTTGACTAAGGCTGGAGGTCTTCATAACTTTATGGGATGGAACAGGGCGCTGCTTACTGATTCAGGAGGCTTTCAAATGGTTTCACTGCTCAAACTGGCTGAGATAACTGAAGAAGGAGTAAAATTTAAGTCACCTTATGATGATTCAGAAATTATGTTGACTCCAGAAAAATCAATAGAGATACAAAATTGCATTGGTAAGTTTAAAATATATTTATTAATAAGTACATAAATTTAATTAATGGGCAAATAATTAATAATTTTATTTAAATGTTAAATTTAAGGTGCAGATATCATCATGCAATTAGATGATGTTGTTCAGACCACATTCCAGGATTATGATCGCATTAAAGAAGCTACAGAAAGAACAAGTCGATGGTTAGACAGATGTTTGGCAGCCCACAAAAGACCTACAGAACAAAGCATTTTTCCTATTGTGCAAGGCCTTTTAAATGAAGAATTGAGGGAACAAAGTGCAAGAGAGCACATGACAAAAGATGTCAATGGATTTGCCATTGGGGGATTGAGGTGCATTAAAACTATTTAAACTGCAATTTGCTAGGACTTTCTTAAAAAAAGTAAAATGCACATGATGCAAACTCAAATGTTTTGTTGTTTTTGTAGTGGAGGTGAAGCAAAGGATGACTTTTGGCCCATGGTCAGCTTAAGTACAGGAATACTAGATAAACACAGGCCTAGATACCTAATGGGAGTTGGTTTGGCAATAGATCTAGTTGTATGTGTTGCTCTGGGAGTTGATATGTTTGATTGTGTCTTCCCTACTCGCACAGCTGTAAGTTATTACTCATAATTTAAACAATACATATTATCTATATACATATATATGTAATAAGTTACACTAATGTTTCTTCTTTTTCAGAGATTTGGATGTGCTCTTGTTTCTAATGGACAGTTAAATCTAAAACAAAAGATATATGAAACTGATTTGGATCCCATTGACAAGAACTGTAGTTGTTCTACTTGTACAAATTACACAAGAGCTTATTTACACAGCATTGTAACAGTGGAGACTGTGGCTTGTCATCTTATTTCTGTGCACAATATTGCTTACCAGGTACAATACTTGTTATGTATAATATAATAATTATTAATTATGTAAAAAGTACTATTGTTACAGATTAAGTATTTGTTAATTTTACCAATAATATTTTCATTCACAGATGAATCTAATGAGAACAATGAGAGAGAACATTGAAAAAGGGACATTTCCACAATTTGTGCAAACATTTGTTAGTGAGTATTATGCTGATTGTGAAGAAATTCCACCTTGGGTTATTAATTCATTGGGTTCAGTTGGAATAAAGATAGTTAAAATGTAATGTTCTTGTTTTTTACTATATAAATTCCCATAATAAATCTAACATAAACCTACAATATTAAATAAACAACCAAATGATGTCAGCATTAATATTTTTATTGTTTGTTACATAAAGTCATCTGAATCATTTCCATCATAGTTAGTGGTCATATTTTCTGCTTTCATCAGAGTGGAGTAACTTCTCAATTCTGCTTCCTCCTTCTTCTTTTTTTCTTCTTCCTTTTCTTTTTCTTTCTTTTCTCTGAGAAGTTTCTTTTTATCTTCCCTTTCAAGCCTATCTCTGGTTTCCCTTTCTATTCTCAGATCTGGGAAAGATTCTTTTTTAGTTTTGTTCAATCTATTTACTATTTCATTACTTCTTTTAGCTACTCTCACTTTTCTAACATCTTTATCTTTATGAAACGCCACCTGACCTGCCTGAAAAATTAACAATTAAGAGTGACATCAAATCAATCTCACCAAAATATATATGAATAATTATTGATTATATAAATTACCTCCATTCCTGCAGTTTTCTTCAAATTTCCCCACATGGTATAGACAATGTCTATATCATTCATTTTATTACCCATTATAGAATTTGCTTTGACTAGCTGGCAGGCATCATCCAATACAGAATTTGGTATGTCATCAATAGTTTGGCCCTGTAAAGTAGATTATATTGAAATAATTGTCAAAACATTAGTCAGATTTATTTTATTAGAAGACAATAGTATTAGTTTTTAACTGTCTTGCATCGCTGGTTGAATATGTAACTGTTGAGCATGCAGTCAAACATTTATAGTTCGTCTTACCGGAGCTAAACGAAGATATACGTGAGCTGAAGATACTTTGTCTACATGGAACCACACATCCTCAGGCCAACCCCACTTTATCAAGTCCTCGTCTGGAAAATAATAAAGATTCATAAATAAAAACAATAACGTATCGAAAATGTTAATTCTCTAAAAAATAGCATTCAGAAGTTCCATACTTTCATGTTTATCGGCTCCCATGAAAAGGGTGACCGGCGGAGACACCACATTACTGGTAAAGTAGAAAACCATTTTTGGAGTTAACTTGTTAATCTAGTAGTAAATAAATATTTCGCAACACGTCTCTTCACTTAAAATTTATTATCAAAGCACCTACTACCACACGATTTACGATACGATTGCACATCATGACACTGTCATAGTGTCATCTTACAGACAGGTTCAGCAATCTATCACTTTTGGCAGGTAAGTGAAGTGAATATAGTGTGTGTAGAATATGTAATACTTATAGTTAGTCGATTTTACTCAATCCATCCTACACACCATCCGACATCATAAACTGTCAATAAAATTCACTAAATAATCCGTTGATTTTAATTCCAGCACATTTTGTATATTGTTAAAATTTAGAGAATACTCTGCTAGTAGTTAGCAATGATCATGCCGTAGGCATGATACAGTCCTTTTCCATCAAAAAAGACAGGGCATAAACTTCATTGAATCACTATCTCTGTGGAAAAAGGTAACTGTAATCTGTGGAAAAAGGTGTCATTTCTTTTCTTGTCAGATTGTCAATTTCCCTCAATGTTGTCAATGAATGAATTGCCATTTGAAACAAACAATCGATAATAATGAGAATATTGAAAAATAAGTATTGATTTACAAAGTGTTTATATTGCTATAATATAAGCTAGAAAAAATAATAATAGAAACTAAAATGGGAAGTCCAGAAAGAGAACTGTGCCCACCACCATCCGAAGAAGATGAATTGACACTACCAAGAGCAAGTATCAATAAAATGATTAAGGAATTGGTACCTTCTGTCCGTGTAGCCTTTGAATCACGGGAATTAATTCTGAACTGCTGCACAGAATTTATACATTTGTTAAGTTCAGAAGCGAATGAAGTTTGTAATCAAAGCAATAAAAAGACAATCAATGCTGAACATGTACTCACAGGTGACCTGTCAAATTATTAGTATATTTAGTATTACAAATTCATAATAATAAAAATAACTATGCTTTACGAAACTAACTATAATTAATATTATTTCAGCTCTGGATAGATTAGGATTTAGTGATTATACACTTGAAGCTGAAGCTGTTTTAAAAGATTGCAAAGCTGTTGCCGCCAAAAGGAGACGGCAAAGTACAAGACTGGAAAACCTTGGTATACCTGAAGAAGAATTATTAAGACAGCAGCAAGAACTATTTGCCAAGGTAACAAAATAGTAATAATTCCTAAGTAATAGAATAAAAATACAAGTATTCCTGTTTCTTAGGAGTACTACCGTTACCTAATGATTAAACTCCTTCTAACAGAAGGTATATGAACTCAATTATTAAAACAATCTATTTTAATGGTTAAAATTACAATTTAAGTAATTTAATTACTTTGACTTAATAAAATTATTCTTATTTTTTTTTTAGATATTAATATGCAGATTGTATTAAATAACACTCTGATTTGGCTATATTCAACCAATATGTTTTTGATCATTTCATCATCATCATTTTCAAAAACAGCTTGCCCGAATAACATGTCACTAAAATGACTCATGCTTATGACTATTTCAGGCACGAGAAGAGCAAGCGAAACAGGAACAGCAACAGTGGCTGCTATTACAGCAGCAAGGATTAGTTGGAGCTGAGGGTGCTGCCCAGCCTTATGTACCTCCGCCCCCAGGACCCAGGCTTGATGATGAAGAAGATGATGATTACTCATAAGCGCACTCTGTTTATAATAATACAATATTTTCATGGTAATGATAAATAAAAGTTAAGAGATTACGTTTTTGACTGTTGATAAAATATTTTCAACTCTTGTATATTAAACATACAGATAATAAAAGAACAACACCATCCTTTTTGTTTATTTTTTTTTTAATTAATCATCTGTGATTGTCAGTCAGTATGTTGTCATGTCAACAACATCGAAGGACCTTGTTGATAAACAATGGCCTAAAGTGTAACAATATCATGTTATCTGCAAAATGAGTAGTGATTCCAATAAGAAATACAAAAGACCGAAACAAAATACGTTGGCAACTACAAATCCAGGAACTTCAGTAGGTAACAGTCTCGGTAATAGCTAGTAGCTAGATTTGACGCTTGATTGTCGCAGAAAATTTACCAACATCGCGAATAATAAAATCATAAAAAGATTTTCTTAAACCAATTTATAGTATTATTCATCTGATCTGCTGGTAGTTATTTAAACATGTTTTCGTATAAAAGGAAAGTACCTACACGACTCCCGCCGCGTTAAAATTACAACGGCTTAAAATTACAGAAACCAAGAAACAGGCGAAATGATGCCGTGAAAAAACAACAACCGCTGTGTGCATTGTTAGCTAAAGATTCGGAGTGGGTAGACATTCTACAATCACCTCAAACAGATACTGCAAGTTCGTCTACCATTGTATCCGACGAAGAGGAAGTACTACAACTTGTAAATACATTTTCAGAAAGTCATAAAACAACAAGGTCACTCTTATTCATTACAGAAAAGATAGGCAGATGCGCACATTTATAATGTAGCACATAGTTTTTTTGCCAGTTGTTATGTAGGTATCAATTACATCCAGTTCTCTTACCATTCACTATACTTATTAGAGAGAAACACGAGTCGGTAACAGATTTTCTAAAAATTAAACCTAGCCTACTTAATATCTCAATAATTCTTTGTTCAGCTCTAAAATCACCTAAGATGAATGCAACTACCTACTCGATGCTGGAGGCTCCATCATCGAGTGGTTGCAAACATGCATCCATCATGGAGGCATTCTGAGATTCGTACTAGTATAATATCTATCTATAGATATAATTTGGTCGAATCACTCCCAAGTTCTAGGTTCATATTTTAACTAGCACGAAACTGAAATATACACCACCCATGTAACATTTTGGTGCTGTTTCAGTTCATAATTTGTTTGAACGGAAGGAACTGTTTTTAGGTAGAATGTGAAGATGGCCCCCAAATGAAGCCACTGGCTATTATGTTTCCGGGTTTGCTCGACAAGGATCCTAAAACACTTCAAGGCATGCTGACTAAGGCTATGTCTACAACAGAAGTAACAAGACATTTAGTGAACCTTGGGCAAAAAGCTAATTTCACCTTTATGAAAAAAGCGGATCGTTTAATCCCCCCTGATAAGGTACCTAGTGTAGCCAAACTGTGGATAACTTAATCTTTACCTACTTTAATGTTGCACATCACTATTCTCAAGGAAACCACACAATACACCCTTATTTAGTTCAACATGCAATTGCTATTTTAAAATAATAGATGTACGTTTAAGTCGCGCTAATGTTGAAATTTCTCATTCAGTCGTTGTTTTTCCTTAGGCGAGGGCAAGTCAGTTAGGTAGTTGTATTTAATTTGCAGTTACAATGGTAGAATATTTATATCAGAGAAAGTGCTTTCCACATCCTGCCTATTGTAGCCGTAGTGCCTGTGTTTGAGTCAGGTAAACCAGACTGGCCAAGTTGAGGTCAAAAAAGATTATTAATAAAACAAAATATATTATTCTATAATATTATATTGTTGTTTACAGCAATGGATGGAAAGTTTGACTGAAAACAGCAATTCATATTGTTCCATAGACTCTGGGCTACTTAGCAACTGTAAGTAATTTTAACAATATTTTTGTAATATCAACAAATAATAATAAATATCAATTTGATTTCTTCGTCTTTCATTTTAACAATATGTGTAAATGTAACATAATTATTTGGGAAGGTATTTCAAGTGACTATGAAGCAGATAATGAAATAGCTGATGGAAAATGGAGTGAAAACAAAATAAAGAAGAGAAGAAAGCACATTGGAAGCACTAATCAATCCACTCCAGAAGTATTGAGTTCCCACGACATTGTAAGCACAGGATACCTTTTAAAGTAAGACAAACTAATTTGTTAACCATACATATTATTTAAACTCCAACATAATATTTTTGCAGTTATAAAAATCATGAACACAAGGAAGCACATAGTAATGAAAACATCGAACAACTTATATACAAAAATAACAATTTGAAAGTTTAATAATATAAATATACAAAACATTTGTTTTATTTTAAGAACAAACTGAATATAACTTCTATTATGGATGTTTGGATGAAAACACACTGCAGCAATGGTTGAGCTGAGTAGATTTAAATTATGTAGGTACTATTATCTGCATGACAGTAATTTTAAAGCTATGTTGTAGCCACGATCCACATACAGTCAGCAAAGTTATTTGGTGTATAGACAAGAAAATAAAGATTGATCAGAATAGAAACAGCAATGGAAGTAGCTTGGAATTGAATAGACAGTCTGAGCCTCCCTTTTCTCTGTCAGTCAGATTTTTACTCCCACAAAAAAGTAGCTCTGTTATGATTATTATTTTTGTCTCTGTTTGAATCAATTTTTTTTGGTTTGGCTGAATTGACTTTCTGCACGTATCGCGCTTTCAGAGTGCATGAGTACTGAAAACAGGCTGTAAGTACAATCTTTACAAGGACCAAAGATGCGATACAATACTGTGGAGTGTTCCCATCCTAGTAAGTAAATGTCTACTTATACTAAATATATATTACATTGGTTCACTAAGTACATACAAGATATCTCTTTTTAATATTGTTTTGTTATATAACAAATCACAAATCGTGTGAACAATGTTATGATAATGCAATACATTTTCTTACTATGTATTAGTACTGTTATTTTAATAACTGCATTCAGCATAAATTCATGAATAAAGTGAAGTATTATGATTAAAATTTGGTTGTCGTTTTAACACCAATGTGGGTGTCGCTTTATAAATCTGCATAAAATGATTCTGTAAGTTTAGGGCATTTACAAAACTGTTAGGGTACTTATTCATGTTTTTCATGGCTACAGCTTGTATCAAGAAAAATATATTTCCATGTTAAAAACATTGAATCGTTAAACAGCTGAAAAATATATGATGCATTATATTTTGCAAAAGGTGACGTAAGCCGCCCATAAATAATAAGCATTTTTATAACGCAAACTCGTAGCTGCATAATGAGATTTAAAAAAATAAGTATTTATAAAATATCACTAGCATTTGAAATAAGTATTCAAAGAAAATATTCTTAAAATCTACGAACACATGAGCAAAAACTTTATTTATTAAGAATACATAACATACTGATCGATTCCGTTAGAAATTATTTTTCCTATTTACATTACTATTGCGTGATGATACAGTGTCACGTCACGGACTCATTACTCTAAGACTGCAGATATAAAAAGGAATCGGAGTGTGCGAAACACGCTGTTCGGTAGCTGCTTTCTAATATTACACTCGTAAATATCCTTACTAAGATGTTATAACCACGATACACTCCGACTGACTATTATAAACAGGTCCTAGATAAAATCAGTAAATAAATATATACATACATATTTACTTATACATTTTAGAAGAATATTAAGCAGATAAATAGAATTATAATATACATTAATATCTTTATCTTCACTCGCATTAACTACCCTACAAATAAAATTTACCAATTACTGCTACACTGTATTTTTGTTGGAGATGTGAGAAGGGTTCCTGACCGTCTTTTAATTACAAGATAAAATGACATTCTAAGTTTTCTGTTGTATATTGTATATAATAAGGCTATAAAATCTATTGCTATTATCGTTTTAGAATTTATTATAAAGTTAACCGTCTACACGCGGTATATAAAAGCTATTGCCGTTCCACTGGCCTTACAGAATCGGCTCTCGCTGGGGTGCGACGCAGCCAGCCTTATACTCAGCCAAAAGTATCCAACTCGAATCGGCATTCAGTTTCACCCACGACATAAAATATTGTCAAATAATTGTTAATAGTCATATATGATCAACGAATAGAAGTCCGCCATGCATAAGGTATAACTATTACAAAACCCACATTTAAGTCTAGAACCGTATGTACATACATCTAGGTAGATGGTCGCACCCCAGTTCCCGAAATAGTCGCAACATATCGTCACCAACTATTTATTAAACTTTATTGAATCTATCGACACTATATTCAATTAGTAATTTCTCTAGTCACGACTATGAATGACAATAAATCGCTACTGTATTACAAAAATACAATAAGTCTATTTTTTACGAGAAAAGAATATCACACGCGGGTGCCACCCATAAACCACTTCCGACTATTTGAAGAAAGCTCTGTACTATATTTAAATCTTATAATCTATATAATTAGTATATTCACTTTATTTTCATTGAGCAGTCGGTTATATTATGTATTTGCATGCAAGCAGGCACTGTTTTGTTTTCAATAATACTTATGATATTAAGCATTTTTCGTTCAATTCTTTAGTGGTTTCTGGATGGTTAACTAATCTCATGTACATACAAATATTACTTTATTGTAAATAATTGTGTACCTATGACAAATTTAAGCGTATTTAATATTAAACTACGTATTCATATAAATGGAACAAGTGGAATAGTGTCCATACAAAATCTATTTTTTGTCTTAATTATTTTTCAAGGAATGGAAATGCTAATCATTCTTTAGGGTTGCCACTCAATCTGGATTGAGAAAGTTGGGATCACAAGTAGTCTGACGACAGATGCTTTTTGGGATTTGTGTAATAAGGTTTGCCGTTTGCGACATGGCGAACTGACACATTTATTTCACAGTACGGTAAACCGGGATGAATAGAATTCGAAGGGTGTATAGACACAGAAGAGAGGTGAATAGATACTAGGAAAATTCGCCAACAACTATTTATTCATCCTTTTCCTGTATCTATTTACCCCTTTCGTGTATCTATTCAACCCTCAAATTCTATTTACCTCGTTTTACGGTATAGAAATAGACGAATATGGTGTAAACTTTTTTGTTTGATATTCTAAAATTTCGCACATTTTGGTAATGAGGTTTCATTAGTAGTATATTCTTTTGAGAATGGATCGTTATAAAATTCGACTTATAAAGCGTACCTAGTTAATAATTGGAAGTTAACTTGATTGAATATAGTAACATTGCATACAGTGAATTTCTGGTACATATAAATATCCTACTAAAAATATCTTTTAATTAAACGATTATATTTTGTTACCATAAACATTTAGGTATATTAAAATCTGTAGTAATTAACGAGTAATTAGGGTTTCATAGCAAGAGATAATATATAATAATGTAGGTCGGTTTTATGTGCTCTCTATTAATATAATTGGGTGTCAACCAATAATCCAAATCAGGTCTACCCACCTACAGTATAACCAGTTTGGAATCCTTTTTTTGAAAGGCTACCAATTCATTGCTTGTAAGAGAACTTATATCAAAATCATTTTGTAATTTGCATGTAATCACCAATTTTTGAGTCTTATACAAATTGTTATTTTGTAATAACTTTCATATTACGGCATCAATATAAATCTTGTAAGCATAATTTTAATAATACTCAATATCCCTAAGTTTTCAATGCTTACATTTTCTATTTGGTTAGTGTTTACAAGTAAACCTACAATATAACACAACCGTGTAAACCATGAGGTTTTTTGTATCATAATTTAATCTTCTTTCTAATTATTTAGATATATTCTGTTAAAAAATTATACTTTCAATAAAAAAATGGGTCTAGCAATTTAATGTAAATAAATTTTATGCTACTGTTAATGTGCACTAATCTTGTGTAAATCCTCCAAGTTTTAATAGATTTTACTATATTTATTTTGGTTAACATGTGGGCAGATACATCCCTGACACAATCTGCACATTGGGTTTACACATTACTAGTTGTGACACATCAACAGTAATAGTCATAATTACTATTATAAACCATTCACTAATTTTATTCTACTTCAAGTATTATAAATTCTCAACTGTACAATTACTTAACACATCAAATCAACTTCAAAGGAACATTTACACTACACATCACCTATAGTAATAGTAATTATTAATATTTAAATCAATTATTATTGCATCATTTAGAGTACAACATTATCAATAAATATTTTATAAGCCAAATTCACCATGATCAACATGAGAGAACATACATCTACCTGGACCTGTAAGAAGTTAGAAGTACCTACATTATTAAGGGATGAGGGAGCGAGCTGGGTCAGATTTCGTGAGGAGCACGCCGCCAAGCAGTGCAAGGGCTGCGGCGGCCGCCAGTCGTCACGCGCGCGGCCGGGACGCCGAGCCAGGCGCGCGCGCGCATGCGCACCGTCATTGTGTCGGCTTCAGAGCTGCCATCTTGCGTCCGCGCGCACGTGCTTCCTGCCTTGACGTGGTGTATTCGAACCATAGCACATTTGGTATCAATGTCGTATCTCTTATCATTAACATTTCACATAGTTTCCTGGAAGTAAACATAATATATGTTGAATAACATGTTGTAAGGTAAATGTTAATAGATTAAAAACTAGAATTAAATAATTACTTACAATGAGACTAGCTGTGGAAACAATGGAGTGAAAACTCTGTGAACTATTGCAAACCAAACAGTTGCAAACACGAACCCGACAATGCCTCCAACAACAACTTGGGAAGTAGTGTGGTAGTGTAGGTATACCCTGGCAATGCTCACTAGCAGGGCTAAGCACATGCAGCCTCCTACTATGATCACCCTCCATAGAGCTGATATTATGCTGTTATTATTAATGTGATGTAATCTGAAAACAAAAAACATTATCTTAGATGGCTGGCACATAAATATGGAATGTTACTAAATTATCAAATAATAATAATTTAATGTTAATCATTGTTGTTTTTAAGGCAAGTAAGTCCATTTAAGCTGACAACAATAATAATAATAATGATTTATATAGTACAAAGTAACTATCATTATATCAAATAGTATGCTAATTCTAAGCCATATTTTTTATACCGAGGGTTGTGACTGGCTTTGTAAAGAATAAATATTTAATTCCATATCTGGGTATCAAATGGTTTTACATATTGGCAACTTTTTGCCTTAGTGTGTTTAGATTTTTTCATTGCAATACATTAAACCCTTATATGTTTACACCACACTTTCCATACAAACTTTAAGGGCCAATAAAGCCAAGGAAACACCTTTGATTATAATAATATTTGTGCACTTCCAAATATATCAAGAGCATTGAGCCAATTTATGTGATGGCTGAAACTGCAATGTGCCGTCCGCAACTAATTGGTTGATGTGTTATTCACATTTGAATTAAATAAATATAAACCTCACCTGATTAAGACAAAGTATAAAACATAGATACTAAAGAACCAAATAAATTGAGCATGTGATGAGGGCATTCCATATTCATTATATAAATTTCCTCTTGAGAGTGGTCTGGCTTCACATACAATGTGCTTTAAAATTATATTTAATACTTCATTCACCAATGTGCCAGTGAAAAAAGTTATCTGCAAAATAAAACTAATTTATTAAAATTACCAATTAGGACTATCACATACAAAAAAACTAAATGATGGCCACTACATACACAAAATATATGGAAGGCTGTGGGGGTCAGTGTCAAAAGATCATTAATCAAACTAAACATGGTCATCATTTAAATTTCAAATTTACTTTTATTTTAGTAATAAATAGTTTTTATGTTCTTTATCAATATTTGAAAACAAAAATGGTTTTAACTCACAGTATGAAGATCTCGACGAAACAAAATAAGCGCAACAAATCCAGCACCAATACCAAATGGGGACAGGCTTATGAACGCGAAGAATTTACCAAGCCAGTCTCCTGAAATCACAATTATTGGGTGTCCAAAATGTTGAACATATTATGTATTAAATAACCCAAAAGATGCAGTTAAACTTACCTTTTGGATACTCAACTAAAGTAAGAGCCAGCGGTTGCCATTCAATTTCACCGTTATTATGCAAAACATCACTCACAGATATCGCTTCTTCCTCCATTTTCGCTTCATTTGCTAGAATAGAGTACGAGCATGAAATAAGTACAAATTCTACATAGTAATCGAAAGATAAATAATACAATAAAAAGCACAAACTAACAGAATCCACAACACAGCCGACAAGTAGCACGACACGAAACAAGTTTTTGACAATTTCTGAACAATCAATCAAACCCTAGTTGACATAAGAAAGTGTTGTCAATGCAAATTAGTAACTAAAAAAATATTTTTATATGGTAATATTTTTTATTTTTGGGAGAAGAGAAATTCATCTGACTATTCTTGTCGTCCTGATTGAGCCTCTCTGTGGAGCCTCTGACTGCCAAAACCTAATTTCTACTCCAAGCTGATGGCACGGTAACTTATTCGTCACATCTTACTTGCAACCCGAAATGGAACTTAATCGGATGTTGTATGGGCCACTTTAATTAATTTTTTTTTGATACGCTCAATTTCCTCTATGATTTTAACCCAACTATCAATGTGCAGTCTGGTAACCCTTAACAGTTCTTTTGTGGGTTCGTCGTCAAAATAAAGAGAGCTAAAATTCTTTAATAAATTGTTCTTGAAAAATTATAAAATATAAAATGGCAGACTCAGATGTAGTGGACTTAGATTTAACTATTGATAATTTAGTTCCGAAGAGTCCCGAAAGGTAAATACTTAATATTATTTATTAGTCAATATGCCAAAGTCCCTTCATGTTTTTTGTAGCTAAGTGAAACAGTAAAAATACAAACAAAAATATTTCACTAGGCTTAAGCTTTCTATAACCAATAATCGTCATTTTAAATCGTACAATAAGGGTGCCTTGACATATGACCTACATTTAGTACAATAGCCCAATCTTGTGTGGGAGTCCATCGATGTGTATATTCATATTATAATCAACGCAAAATCATTACTTGCGCATTTATGACGTATTAACACAAATATAAAGAGTGTTTAATTTGAAATAAATTCATCCAAACATTGCTACAGCTTGATTTCTTGTTCTATGTTTAATATGGAATCAGGTGAATCAGCTGTGTTTTATGAGATTGATAACACATGCACGCGTAGTTAATAACTTCTTTGCAATAATATGTTGACATACAATTAACATTGATTTGATCTTCCACTGAATTATTTTTCTAGGGTGGCTGAAGAAAAGAAAGAAAGTGGGAACCATTTGTACAAATTCAAAAATTACAAGGGTGCCTTGACTATGTATGATGAAGCTATTCAGCTTTGCCCTGAAAATGCAGCATACTATGGCAATAGATCTGCATGCTACATGATGTTGGGAATGTATAAGAAAGCCCTTGAAGATGCACAGAAGGCTGTTTCTCTGGATTCAACATTCACTAAAGGATATATCCGCATGGCTAAATGCTGTATTGCACTAGGTATGTGATAGATTTATCGTGATTGCTCTATTATTAGTAGGATGTAGATGACTATGATGAAACTCAGATAGATTGATTTTTTATTACTGAAACCTTTACACATTAAATCCTGTGTATATAAAAACTATTAGATGCTGTTATTGTATAGATTTTGATATAGTATACTCTTACTCTTAATGTAATTTTACCTGTGATGATTTAAGGCATGTCTATTGAAATAACACTATTGTATAAGTGCTGATAAATGTAAATAGTGATGTCATGTGAAATGTTGACTCAATAGGCTGTCTTTATCATCCTAAACCTCATACTTAAACATTGTGTCCCACAAAATAAAACAACTTATCATACATATATATGTTGTGGTTTTAGTCACATGTTTTTTTTGCAATATCATTTTGTATTAATAAAACACAGCCAATTTACAATACCTCTCTGTTAAACAGCTGTTTCAACATTTCTCATTCTCACTGAAAAGGAAATATGGCTTCTCTTGAGAGAAATTAAAATTTAATGATTTTTTATCTTACATTAATGATGATAATGTCTACTTCACACAGCTAAACAATTTATTGTTATAATTTTTGTGAAAAAGATTTGCTTGGATATCTCATTGCACCTAAATAACTAGACTGACAATAACTACAGATCACAAGGACAACAATAATTTGTCTAGTTATTCAGGTACTTAAATTTTATTTCAATCCATACTAAAACTTGATATTACTATGTCTAAGATATCTGCATGAATGAGCAACCAAACCCACATAAAATGAGTCTTTGTGTTTGCCACAAATTGTTATTTGTAGTTGGGTGTATTGTGTTTGTAAACACATCTGCAACACAGGCCTTAAAATATTTTAGTGAAAAAAAACTACATTTCAGTTTATATAAATAATTGCATTGCTCAATTAGGTGACCTGTCGGGTGGTGACCAAGCAGTGCGACGTGCGAGTGAGCTCGGAGGCGCGGACTGCGCGGCGAGTGAGAGACGTGCTCTGGAGACGTTACGTAAACTGCACGAGGATGCTCAGCGCGCAATGGAAGCCAACGACTACCGTCGCGTCGTGTTTTGTATGGACCGCTGCCTTGACTACAGTCCCTCTTGCACTAAGTGAGTGGTTTATTTAGATCACCGACAAAATAAAGTAACAACCTTTGCTTAGTTAGATATGTTTGGTATTGTAAACAAGTAATTTGTTGTTTAAATTAGCTTAGCCAAAATACACACTAACCACAGTAGGTTGTTTGTATTGATGTACATAAACTTGCGCCTAATATTCGCCATGGTCATAAGTATGCACTTACAGCATGCACACTTTCCACCAATCTGATCTGTTTTTACCAAAGTGTTTAAAATCTCCTGATTCTGAGCTGAATGTCAGATTAATGAACAAGAAGTATTCTTCTCGCTCAAATGTCTGTCTTAACCATAGTGATTGTTTTTTTCTAATATCCCTTAATAATAAATTAAAATGATCCTTTTGATCTTGAAATAAATATACTTAAATCTTTTTCCATTATTATAAAGTTTATATTTAAATATCTCCAGGGCAAAGCTCACAAAAGCAGAATGCTTAGCCATGCTTGGAAGGTGCCAAGAGGCCCAGGAAATTGCAAATGATTCATTAAGGTTCGACAGTTTTGACACAGAGGCTATATATGTGCGCGGATTGTGCCTGTATTTCGAGGTAATACATCTTTTATTGTTATTTTGTTTTATTGTTAGGTGTATTGCAAACTGTAGATCTAACTTGTTTATTATTACAGGATAAAGATGAACAAGCATTTAAGCATTTCCAACAAGTTTTACGACTTGCTCCTGACCATAAGAAAGCTATGGAAACTTATAAAAAGGCTAAACTGCTCAAACAAAAGAAGGAAGAAGGTAATGTATCATTAATTTTTATACAACAGCTATTGAATAATCACGCAGTTTTATACAATTCCGAGTTGAATAACTTAGCATTTTAAACCGTGTTTGGTATTCAATTAATGTATTAATTTGATTTCATTGTCACTTCAGGGAATGAAGCATTCAAAATGGGTAGATGGCAGCAAGCTCTGAGCCTTTATAATGAAGCTTTGACTATTGACAAGAACAATAAGATCGTAAATGCTAAGCTGTACTTCAACAAGGCAACAGTATGTGCTAAACTGAACCAAATCAAAGAAGCTGCTGAAGCTTGCACTGCTGCCCTCGAACTAGACGAAAACTACGTAAAGGCGTTACTTCGACGAGCCAAGTGCTACACGGAACTTGGTGAATTCGAAGAAGCTGTCAAAGATTACGAAAAGCTCTACAAGATCGACAAGAGCAAGGAAAATAAGCAACTACTACACGAAGCAAAAATAGCTCTAAAAAAATCGAAACGCAAAGACTATTATAAAATACTTGGCATTGACAAGAGTGCTTCGGAAGATGAAATCAAGAAAGCATACAGGTAAGACATAAGTAATTTTGTAGCATGTTATGCATCAACTTATTTAATTACAAATTAACCTTAATCAATTTAACAAATGCAAAACATAATATTAAAGGTAACTTCTCCACTCATTGATAAAGGATTTTTGTTGAATCAATTTGGTAGCAAATATAATGGATGTTACAGGAAGCGCGCCCTAGTCCATCACCCAGACAGGCACGCTGGAGCGCCCGACACCGAACGTCGTGAACAGGAGCGCCGTTTCAAAGAGGTGGGTGAAGCCTACGGAGTCCTCAGCGATCCCAAGAAGCGCGCGCGCTACGATCACGGACAAGATCTCGACGATGATGGTTCCGGCATGGCAGGTTAGTAACAAGTCGTTTTATTATTTTATATAAATAACAGTAAACCTTTTATTATAAGTATTTGTAACACGCAGATGGCCGTGTCATACACGAGTAAACGCACGCTTATAAAAACTAATTTACTCTTTACTTTTTTAAAGGAAATTCGCATAATTTTATAATAGTACTAGTTCTTAGCTTACCCAGAGCACGAAAAAAATACTTATTTTCTAAACTACTCATTAATATTTTCAGATATCGACCCCAACGTGGTATTCCAAACATTCTTCAACCGTGGTGGACAACGTTTTGATTTTGGTAGCCGATTCCCAGGGAACACTTTTGACTTTCATTTTGGTTAATTTCCTTCATTTGTTCCATAAATCCATAATTTGAACAATCAACTAAAGTGTTATGCATAAATTAACAAAATTGTATGTGTACATTAAAGAATTTAAAAAATGTTCTAGCTGAACACAATACGTCATTCCATATTAAAATATATAAACACAACTTACTCAAAGAGTGATTAATATTTTGTCAAAATTATTTGGTTTTATTTTTCCTCTATTTGAACAGTTATAAGTGCTCTATTTTAATAAATAATTGCCATATATTTTAACAACGAACGATGACAAAGTATAGGAGCACATGTGTGAATAACTTGTATAACTGTACATGATACGGTGTTGCGTTCAAAACCGTAGTACCTAATTACATTGACTGATTTGGTTAAGTATTTTTTTGATTGTTAGCCCACTGGCGACGTTTGTGAACATGTTTTATGTAATTTAATGATGAATAAATCTAGAAAAATGAGTACCTCGGGATTTTTAATGAAATGTCTCTCATTACCCGAAGGTAACTCAAGAACTGACCCAATACCGAAAATTTACAAAGTAACTACCTAATACCAAAAAAAGTGTAATATTTTGAGGTAAAAATGTACCTAAATGTATCTTTTTTGATTTATTTAATACCGATTGTCCTGCCAAACTTACTGACTGCTGATGTATTTGATAGTTTTATTATTGTAACCTGCGTAACTAGTTTCCTGCGACACTTATAATTGAATCAAAGGTATTTCACAATTGTTATATTAATACACGTGTAAGAAAAAAAATACAAGAATAATAGTTCATAATTTAATGTAACAATTTCAAATATTTACTCGAAATCTGTATATAAAAGTTTACTAAGTAATAATTCTATTGCTTATTAAGATTGGGGTGTGTTCAATGAATCAGGTCAGAGGAAAAGTTACTATACATTAAATTTATTCATGAATAATAAACTAAATAGATGGCTTTCACAGTAGTTTAATACAAATTGAAGTTAAATAAAAAATCCTCTTATTGGATGTTAATTTTCATTTTCCTACAAATTCCTCAAAGTACTTACAATGTTATCTATATACTTACATTACCAGACTTTGCAGTAGGTAATCGGATTGTTAAAAGTAGACTACCATAGCACGGATATATGTATCGAATTTTAGGTTGCAGCATCTGCAAAACTTAACTAATTTCGTATACCTACTACAAAATGCAGTACAAAAAGCAATAAACCCTATAGATCGTCCTGCCTAATAAAACATAGTTTTCGATATTTTGTAGTTTTTATTGCTGTCAATTTAGAACCTTTATGCTAAGAAAAATTATAGATATTCACTAAATGTAATTTCTTTATAGTTTACTTATATCTTTTTACTATTTTGTTGATCCATACTTCCTCTCATCGCTTTGTCGTTTGGTGGGCGTTTAGAGTCAAGTTTACCTTTAATACCTTCAAACCTGAAATTGATAACAAGGAGAAATATTATAATCAGCAGATTAGCAGCTCGGTACTTAATTCAAAAGGAGTTAAGTAAGAAGTCTGAAATAAAATTTGAACATTTAAAAATACACTTGTCTACTTTACATACATAAATCCACATTAACATACCTACACATCATATCCAGACCCGGACCATAAATCTGTGGTCGCAGAGTTGTCCGTGTGCGATTTGAACGCCACCTTGCGCAGTCGCCGGTTGCCTAACGAATACGGCAATATGTGTTGTACAAATACTCACTTTTTAATTTTGAATGGTTTCTTTTTTTCTGGTTTTGCAGGTTGGTGATTAGTTTTAAAAGTAAGAACGTAACGTTTCACAACGTCTACATTTACTGTAGTACTTTCAGGATACATTCGCTTCTTCCAAGCTTCAATTTCTTTAATCCACATTCTTTGGTACTCGTATGAAAGCAGCCATTCTATGCGGGATTTACCTTCCTGATAAAAGCATACATAATAGATAAGTTAATGAAATCCTTAATTTTGAAAACGTAACGTGGTGTGGTAGGTACAGTCAGCTCCAAAAGTCGATGAACAGAATCAACTTAACAAAACACCTGTTCACAATAACTAGGAAACAAAATAGCCTGTACACCAAAAATTTACAAAAGTCGGTTATCACGACTAATTCAAAAGTATCTGTGCATTGTAGTATTCCTAAAGTCGCTGTACACAATCAATCCAAATGTCGCTGAACATCATTGTATCAAAAGTCACTAAACAGCAGTAAAAACAAAATTAGGTTAACAAAGTATATTTTTAATGTTGCCCTGTGTTAATATAATTTTGACGCTTATGTTGTTGAACTACTTTTGGGACAGTGCTCGCTAGACCTTAATAATGTACCTATATTATATAACACGTTTGTATCCATTTCAATACTTATTTATAAATCAATTATATTTTTAACAGACTTCAAAAATTGAGGAGGTTGGCAACTCGTCGGGATCTTTTTTTATGGATGTTCACCGATTACTCAAAGACGCCTAGACCGATATGGAAAATTGTTTTTTGTTCAGTAGGGTATGATTTCCAGGTGGTCCCATGATCACCAGGTCAAGATCTGATGATGGAAACCCACCCTCGATTTTTCTCGAGGGGAAATTCATATATTTTCTGAAGTTATTCAGGTATTTACGTCAACTTGTCGATAGTTGAACTCGACTTGATGATGAAGCCGAAAGACAGTCGAGGGATCTCCTTGACTATTTGGACTAATTGCCTTGTGTTTGGGCTTGAATAATTCGTCTTGGTGAGCACTTTGCACCAAGACTGGTAGTGACTGTCATTAGGGGTATAACAATGACAACGAAGGATAGCTCAGGAAACTCCTGAACGGTTTACAGTAACTACCTCGTGTTTGGGCTTAATTTATTTATATCAATAAAAACTTCGCACCTACATGAGTTACAATGAAGTTATGCAGTAAATCTGATGATTAAGCCGGAAGACCGTCGAGGGATCTCTTTGACTATTTGGAGTAATTATGTTGTGTTTGGGCTTGAATGATTTGTATTGGTGAGCACTTTGCACCTATATGGATTATGTAAGTATATTGAAGGTCTATAGTATACATGATGATGGAGACCATTGACAGTCGAGGGAATTCCTCAACGATTTACAGCACTGAACACTGACTAACTAAGGACTACTAATATTACCGTGATTTTCAGTCTCAAGTAGCCGTCGTCTTCTCATTCGAAAAGCATTATCCTTGCTTGCTCTGCCTATCACTTGAAATGGTGAAATAAAATAATTTTTAACGAAAAAACAACCGACTTCGAAAAATAAACTAAAAAGCAAAAAAATTTTTTTCTGTGTACAAAGTACCTATAATACATGTGTTCATTTAGGTAAATATAAATTAATTTTAATAACTGTTTTTATAATTTCGAAGTCGGTGCCAAGTAAAACAATGATGAAAATGATGAATATTAGAATCATGTTTATGTTATTTCACGTTTAAACACGAAGCAGTAACTATAAGCCATTCAGGAGTTCCCTGAGCTGCCCTTCGTTCTCATCAGAATCTTAATGACAGTTACGACCAAGCCCGGCACAAAGTGCTCGCCAATAGGAATTATTCAAGCCCAAACACAAGGCAACTACTCCAAATAGTGAAGGAGATCCCTCGACTGTCTTCTAGCTCCAACATCAGGTCGACTTCGACCTTCATCAAGTTATAGTGTTGTAAAAGACCTACTTAAACATCATCGAAAAGAACTACTCGTCCCTATAAATATTGAAAGTTCCCCTCGATTTCTCCAAAATTCCATCATCAGATCCTGACCTCATGATAATGGGACCAACTGGCAAGTATACCCTATCAAATAAAAAAAGAATTTTGCAAATCGGTCCAGGCGTATTCGAGTAATCGGTGTACATACATAAAAAAATACGCATCGAATTGAGAAACTCCTCCTTTTTTGAAGTCGGTTAAAAATATAATTGATTTATAAATAAGTAATGTTTATAAATAATGAATAATGATGATTTATAATAATAAATAATGATTTATAAATAAGTAATGGATACAAACGTGTTATATAATATAGGTACATTATTAAGGTCTAGCGAGCACTGTCCCAAAAGTAGTTGAACAACATAAGCGTTAAAATTATATTAACACAGGGCAACATTAAAAATATACTTTGTTAACCTAATTTTGTCTTTACTGCTGTTTAGTGACTTTTGATACAATGATGTTCAGCGACATTTGGATTGATTGTGTACTTGAGGAATACTACAATGCAGAGATACTTTTGAATTAGTCGTGATAACCGACTTTTGTAAATTTTTGGTGTACAGGCTATTTTGTTTCCTAGTTGCGACTATAACTTATGGCATTTTATTGTGAACAGGTGTTTTGTTAAGATGATTCTGTTCATCGACTTTTGGAGCTGACTGTACATACATCCACTATATAAACAAGTAGTAAGTAGGATTTGCTAAAATATCAGGTAAATGACTGTCAGTCATTTACCTGTATTGTGTTGGGGAAGTGAATCGAACCCGCAATGGTAGGATCATGTGTGAGTTTTAACTTTTTCGAATAACTAAGATTAGAATTAACTTTTCTGTGATAAAGCGTTCGTGAGATAATTATGTTTAACGACTTAGGTACGTCACGTAGGTAACTGTTTACCTTGAGGGCTTAACTTCGTTCTGCTTCTATTCATGGGCAGAACGCAGCCAGCTCATATACCTATGTCGGTTCTTTTGACGTTCACCGCGTTTGTGTGTCACGTAAAGCGCGGGTCATGAATATGGCCTCAACTAGAAGTTATCTTGCCAAACAGTTACGTGATAGAAATTAAGGATTAACACTACTTTTCATGATACCTATCTATACAATTAGATTTAATTACCTAAATTATAATTATTATGACCCAAATTGGCGTACCTACATTTAAAAACTTACCATAAACTTCCATGGTTGGGGGTTATACTTAGGGAAATCTGAAGAAATGATGTTATGAACAGGCCGACATTGTGTAGCTTTTTCCCATTTAATACCCGACATTCGACCCATGGCAGTTTTTAATTTAGATGTCCATGTGTAAACGATATAAAAATACAATGAAATTGTATTAATTTCAAAACATGACAGTAGGTAGTCACGTCTATAGTCTATCGAAAGAAAATGACAAGTTATGAAAAAAAGAATAGGTACCTATTAGATACTTTCTCACCTGTGTATACCTATGTACCTATAATAGTAATGCAGCGAACGACTAGATTACCCTCATATTGGTTTCAGAATCAGTAAACCAAAATAAACAAATTATTATTGTGAATTAGAGTCGTTCCTTTTGGTAGCGGCCACTAATTTACCGTCCCAGAAACCGCGAGGATGTTGCGGGGCCAACTCAATCCACCTTACCGCGGCATCGGCCTGCAGCAAGAGATATATTGGGGTGGTTATTAGTCAGTTAGTGTCTGACACTTCCTCTCTCTGGGTGAGAAAAGTCATTTGATGATTTTCCACCGCAAATCGTTGCACCTATCCAGGCGCCGTCCAACGATTGCGTCTACTGTGCAACCGAAAGGCCATGCCATTTGATCCACGAGGGTGTAGGCAGACTTGCAGATATTGTATGTAGCACTTAGGTACTCACTTTGCACACTAGAGAGTTTAGGTAAGCTTGGTGTGGAATAGGTAGTAAGAACTTAATAGTTGGGGAAAACCCAGGATGCTAAATTTGTAGTTACTCAAGCGTCGTACGGAGCAACTGGATTCTGAAGATTTGGTGATAGAAAAAAAATTGCTTAATGACACTTCATTCCTCCGGTGGGGGAAGCGGGGATCGATGGTTATCCAAAATTATTAAGTGTAGGTAACTTTTGAGGCACGAGCGTGACAGATATTAATAATCTATATTCTCCATGTACCCCTGACTATGAAAATATTTTCATCTGCTGAATTACAAGGTGGGTTTGACCGATTGAGAGGATAGAAACGGGACCCGTTCAAAGCTCTACTATTGTTGTGAACCACGATGAAGTAGGCAGATTTTTTATTTTAAACGCACTTTCCTTAGCATGAAATCTACCGACTATATAACTAGTTTTTTTTTTGTGGTTATTGTCTATTTACATTAAGTACCTATATCATGAGTATATTCAACAGGGTACTAAGTATTCCCCATATGTTAATCTGACGCGCTCGAGTAACTACCGAAATCCCTTCATGGGATTGTGGGAGCCAAGCTTCGGCACGAATGGGTCGGCTCGACCAGAGTGATACCACGGCCTCACAGACTACCGGCGTGAAACAACTCAGCGTTGTGTTTCGCCGTGTGAGTGAGGTTACCGGAGGCCCAATCCCTCCCCTTCCCGTTCCTTTTAACCGCAACCCCTATCCCCAAAAGGCCGGCAACGCACTCGTAACTCATTTGGTGTTGCGGGTGTCCATGGGCGGCGCCGATTGCTTACCATCAGGTAATCCGTCTGCTCGTTTGCGGACTTATACTATAAAAAAATGGGCTCCCCTACTATAAGACAATGCCAATCCTCGGGGAAACTGTATGTCTACATCGCAATCAGATTTTGCCAACTAAGTAGGTCAAGCTGCGTGCGTTCGTGCAGCGGAATGTTGTTGAATTTAAAGATTTTAATTATGCAGATATTTAGTGTATGACGTCGTATAATTGTGTATGGTAAAAAAAAATTTGTGCACGCAACCATTGTGGAGAAATTCACCAAAAACTGATTCCGCTGGGCGAACGTTGTCCTGGCGGAACTTTTTTTAATCCATAGACTTTAGAAGAAAAGAGATGTATCCAAAAATTAGTGTGTATTTGTGTGTAATTGTGTATGTATGAATAAAACTAGTGCATGCATAAACTTCGGAGAAATTCAAGTTTCCGCTACGCGAACGTTTGGCCATTAGCTAGTTTTCATATACAGCGCTTACATAGAGAGCTGTAGATTTTTACATACGTTGTTTTGAATTTGTTTATATTTGTTTAAAAAACAGATTTAGAAAAAGTCGTAGGGTTTAAAAGATAAAAATATAAACGTAAAATACGCTTATTAGGTCTTAGTTCTTAAAGTATGCACTTTGGGGTCTAGATTTTCACGTTGATACAAACCTTGTAAGTGTCTGCAACATGTTGCCAAGTATCAATGATGTTCCGTTAGTAATTAAATAGTTATAGGACAAATTTCCTATGAATAGATCACTGTTTACAAAGCAGTCAAATATCACGACTTTCTAAATGAATTGCATGGTAAAATGTATGCCAATAATTAGTGTATTCATTCAACTATTTACATGCAAAATTTAAACTACTTAAATTTACTTTACTATTTAAATTCAGTAATTAAAGAAAAACAATTATAATACTGACGAAGCATCGAAAACCCACATAACCCGACCAAGTTCGGATGGCTACAAAAAAGCGGCCGTGCCATATATCTAAGAAACGTTCTTAACTTTCCAATATAGCATTTATTAATATGGTACATTATCGTACACAAGCGTTAGGAAAAAATTAAACACAGTATCGTACACACGCTCGTGCATGCCTCTATTGGTTAAATAGTGTAATAAGCTACAATATGATAAATATTTACCTAAACAGTAGTACTTAAGTACTTACATGTGGTAAATATTTAATTTCCCTAAGGGGTCTATAGTTAGAATCCTGATCCGTGAAATCTTCAATAGAAATTAGCTGTATGAATTTTATTTGTCTTAAATATAATTAGATTATATCTCAAATCTCAAGCGCATACTTAAATAAAGTACCTACGTAAATAGTACTTACTTTCTGTCATAGTCAAATACATTTAAAAAAGTAGGTGTCCAAAAATAAATGACCTATAAATTATTTCGAAACAACAAGTGTGTTATCACCTGTACCAATTCAATACCGGTATTATACTGTAAATTTTGGGATGTTACCTAAATATATTGAACAGCCGCTTTTTTGTAGCCATCCGAACTTGGTCGGGTTATGTAGGTTTTCGATACTTCGTCAGTATTATAATTGTTTTTCTTTAATTACTGAATTTAATGACATGATTTTTTGCATGTGAATTGTTGAATGAATACACTAATTATTGGCATACATTTTACCATGCAATTCATTTAGAACGTCGTGATATTTGACTGCTTTGTAAACAGTGATCTATTCATGGTAAATTTGTCCTATAACTATTTAATTACTAACCGAACATCATTGATACTTGGCAACATGTTGCAGACACTTACAAGGTTTGTATAAACGTGAAAATCTAGACCCCAAAGTGCATACTTTAAGAGCTAAGACCTAATAAGCGTATTTTACGTTTATATTTTTATCTTTTAAACCCTACGATTTTTTCTAAATCTGTTTTTTAAACAAATATACACAAATTCAAAACAACGTATGTAAAAATCTACAGCTCTCTATGTAAGCGCTTTATATGAAAACTAGCTAATGGCCAAACGTTCGCGTAGCGGAAACTTGAATTTCTCCGAAGTTTATGCATGCACTAGTTTTATTCATACATACACAATTACACACAAATACACACTAATTTTTGGATACATCTCTTTTCTTCTAAAGTCTATGGATTAAAATAAGTTCCGCCAGGACAACGTTCGCCCAGCGGAATCAGTTTTTGGTGAATTTCTCCACAATGGTTGCGTGCACAAATTTTTTTTTTACCATACACAATTATACGACGTCATACACTAAATATCTGCATAATTAAAATCTTTAAATTCAACAACATTCCGCTGCACGAACGCACGAACTTGAATTTCTCCGAAGTTTATGCATGCACTAGTTTTATTCATACATGCACAATTACACACAAATACACACTAATTTTTGGATACATCTCTTTTCTTCTAAAGTCTATGGATTAAAAAAAGTTCCGCCAGGACAACGTTCGCCCAGCGGAATCAGTTTTTGGTGAATTTCTCCACAATGGTTGCGTGCACAAATTTTTTTTTACCATACACAATTATACGACGTCATACACTAAATATCTGCATAATTAAAATCTTTAAATTCAACAACATTCCGCTGCACGAACGCACGCAGCTGGAGTGAACACTGATGAAGAACAAGCCCTCCTACCTCATTCTTGCCTTAATTGGCTGGCTTGAGTGGAGATTCGCAAGAGTAGGAGTTGAAGGAGACTCGGGGGAAGGATATAGGTATGGGTCTTGACCGTACTTCCGGGATTGCTCTGATAGCCGTAGGATGCGTCTCCTTCCCCAAGCAGCTCAACTAGCTAGCGGCCGTTTCCGGTGTTTGCCAGTCACCCCCTGCCTGTTTATCCGTATGTATCAGTATTGGTCAGGGGGCACGGGGCCATAGTAATTTTATAGTTTTATTCCACTAGTCCATAGCAACCCATACCCCTTCCAATTATTACCACATTTCGCAATAGTCTTGCATCAACCGGGGATTATCCTTCACAGTGCATACAGTGATAATTGCCGGCTGATGTCCCATTTCACTTCAATTAAAGATGTTCAACGAGCCTCTGCGAGTTGGCTTCGGAACCTCGCACGCCTTCCAAAGGTCCGGGATCCTGTGATCGGAAACGAATACTGTGTCCGTTACCCAGGCCAGATGTTGTCGACAATGGTCATTTGAATCTTACAGATAATTAGTGGTGCGGCTTCTGTAATTGTTGCGCACATTTTTAAATTTGTTGCGCTTATAGTTTTTTAATTATTTCACAAAAACATTTCCTGCTGGCGTAACGTTACCACAGCCAGACCTTTTTATTTCTAATGGGAATGTTTAAATAAATATTAGCTATAAAATTAGTTGTCTAGATAAGGTAAATGTTGTGCCTTATTTTGTATTTGTTCTTTCTTCGGTTGCGAAGTTATTCGAGATTTTGCTGCGGTAACGTTTTTGGTTTTGCTAGATCTTTGAAATGGTTAAGCGGATTCTTATCATATTTTGTACACGACTTCCGAGGACTTAGTTTAAATTTGTTGTGCAATAACAAAACCAAAATAATGCATATTTTATAGGTTTTTTCATTAAATAGAAAAACACTTCAATTGGCCCCAGCACT